GTGTCTGAGAAAACTTGTCCCCATTTCACGCAGTATACACTCAGATGGAAAGCAAGAAAGAAGGTCTATAAATCTGCTTGCTTGCTTCTCTTGTTGTTTCAACGCCGCACGCAGCAATATTCCAGCTATATGACGGCTGTCTGTAAATAATCCGATCCCGTTAGACGCCTTTTATGACAAGCATGAGTAGCTGAAGACCTATTCTAACTCCGGATCTTCACGGGTCGCCATAACTTTGGAAAAATGAGGGGATACAACTTGTCATACGGGTTTCTTAATTAATTGTATACTTGTTTATAGACTAGAAGGTTTGTGTCAGATTTCTTAAGTTTAGTTAATGTCAGGTCGACATTTAGCCGCATCATCTGCCAAGTAGGCGATGTCAAAAGTTGGAAGGGAGCTATATCTTGAAGGTTAATTTTAGCTAAATTTTAGATTTGATTCTTATTCCAAGGGGTGGAATAGAGATTTTTTTCTTATTGTTAATATATTCGTAAAAAAGGATTAAATACGTTATTAAAAGCTGGACTTGACTGATTAGAATCTAATTTGGTGATGTTTTGTGAGTATAATTTCAGACGGCGTTGTTTAAGGGATGACTCATCCGCCTCCACGTACAGACTATGAATGGAAGATGTTCGAAAGGCAAAACCCGAGGCATTGATGATGGTTCGTATCTAGTTTTTTGTAAATTACTTTAACATGCTCCACCATAGAAGACGGAGCCATGATCAAGTTTTGAACGGATCAGTGATCTTTATAAGTGTAAGAGGTTTGTCCGTGTTTCAATATCAAGTGTTACCCAAAGACTAAATAAAGCGATAATAAGGCGTACGTGATGCCTTCGCTAGTTTACTCGGTAGCCATCATTTTTACAAGCCCAAATGTGCGGGGATCAGTCATTGTGCTAGGCAGTAAGGGTGATACGGACCAGTCATTACAGGATATTGCAGCATCCGTTCTTCTTTAAGTGTCCGTGAGTCCATAGGATACTTTGGCACACACTCAAATATACTATATTACAACTATACTGGCATCGAAGTCAGTTAACTTTAAATTGAAGTAACATTTAGGGTAGCATTCATAATAAAGCTACTAAATTATGAGGGCTTTATAACTGTAAGTGAATCAAGTTAGTGTCCATGACCTTCCTGGTCTGTAAACATTTACTCATATTAACATAATAGAATAACTGAGGGCTTCAGCACATAATAATTATTGTCGAACTCGAGCACAAACTATACTCTTCACAGTAAAGTCTTTGGGATGTTTGGGCAACTTCACTGAACGGCCACCTCTGTTGGCAGTCGGTGGTATAGTCATGTGCTTGCTTCATGATTGTCGTCAGTCTGTCGGTCTTCATCGGTGTCATCGGTGTGGAGTCACGCGAGAAGTTGCTGGTAGGCCTGTTAGATGGCACAAACTGTTCTCTTGACTAATAGTTTTCTGAGTATATGTTGTCTCCCAACTTTTACAGGTGTTTGATTCAATGTATGTTGTTAAGCTGTTTCCTCAATATTCCTGTAGGTGTGTCTACCTCATAGCTTCTCGCGTCAAATCTCTTCAGCACTGTTCCCGTTTTTCCATACTTTGTCATTCATTGTGAATGGCTTTGTCCTAACAATATTACCTTCTTCTAAAGGCTTTAAATATTTTGCTGATTTGTCAAAGGATGACGTCTGCTTTTGTGGTTTAAGACGAAATCTTTCTGTTTTACCCTTCACTGTTCTCGGCTTAAACAGAGTTTCACTTTTTGGAAGGAGGGTCTTTGATCGTCTGTTCATAAGTCGTTGGTTGCAAGGGACTAGATCTGAGTCTCTGAGTTGGTGTATTTCTGTAGTCCAATATAGCTATATACTGGTCGTTTCCACTGTCTTTTGCTGTTCGCAGTAGTCTCTTTGCAGTCGTAACCTCAGACTCTGCCTTTCCATTGGCTTGACTGTTGTGAGGACTGGAGGTTACGTGCTCTATGTCCCAATCAATATCAAATTTGTGAAACTCCTCTCAGTAGAACCTATTTCCGTTATCACTGACCAACTGGTCCGGAATCCCACCGTTGTCACCATGTTTCAATATCATGTGTTACCCTAACACTAAACCAAACGGGGGCGGTCGGGTAGCCTAGTGGTTAAAGCGTTCGCTCGTCACGCCGAAGATCCGGGTTCGATTCCCGACATCGGCACAATGTGTGAAGCCCATTTCTGGTGTCCCCCGCCGTGATATTGCTTGAATATTGCTAAAAGCGGCGTAAAACCATACTCACTCACTCACTCACTAAACCAAACGACAACAAGACGCACGTTTACGCACTAGTTTACTCGGTAGCCATCATTTACAAGTACGGATGTGCAGGGAACAGTCATTGTGCTAGACAGAAAGGGTATATGGACCAGTCATCACTGGATATTGTAACAGTCTGATCACCTCCCCACTTTGAATTTGATAAAACTTTCAATAAAACGAGGGCCTTCAGACATCTAGCTTTAAGGTATTTAATGTTAGGTAAGAAAGTTAAATGGTTATCAAAGAAAATTCCCAAGGACTTGGCCTCCTTTACAATTTGATTGGGGTGTCATTCAAAATATTTCAGTGTCCTATTGCGGCTTATATTTTCTGCAGAAATGTAAACGATTAGTTTTAAATTTAGAAAATTTTCAAGAGATCTCATGCAATCTCATGCAATTTTAATTCAGATATATAGGTTTGTAACTGCCACTCTATGGTATGGATATGTTTACAACAAGAAATATTAAAAACAGTCAAGAAAAGCGATCCATCCACTGCGTCACTTAAAATATTTGAAAGACTATTTATGTTAATTTTAAATATAGTGACAGAAAAAATACTGCATTGCGGGACACCTGCCTGAACCTCGTCGTTGGTCCAATTATTAATTGGCCAACTAATCCCAAAGGTAAACCGTAATCTTAATTAAATGTTTGAAGACAATATATATTTTTCTTCCCATCCGTAACTTGCAGAAAATCAAAAACGTTGCTTGCCAATGGAATTAATAACTCAAAACCCCCCGTAACGTACATCAAATTAAATTTCAGAGACAATACCAATCCATGTTTTCCAGCATAACACATGAATCTAATCATAAATGTCGGTGGCGATATGAACCTGAAAATTATGTCCATACTTGAATCGAACTCGGTCATGATACAAGCCTATGTGACCTAAACAATTCTAGGAACTTGTTCCATAAAAGGAATAACTCATGAATATTAATGACCCCACGACCTAGTTTTGCGATGCTTATAAAGGTGAGTTCTGCTGCAGTTTCTGCGCATTTGTATATTCTAATCTAATTTGGTTCCGCCATATGTCCATTTGTTGACCTAGCTAAGATCGCTGCTTCCATGCCTGAGGTAACACTACCTGTTTCCATATATTCAAATCCCCTAGTATCCCATCATGTAATAATGCTGAGTTTGGCGTTAAAACAACAAACAAACATTATCTCGCCTTCCATGTAACATTTATATATTTAATGTAGTAAATGGTCTTTGCCCTCGTAAGAATATACTGAATGATATGCTGAGAGGCATCAAAAACGCATATTAGGAAAAAAGGTCTGGCACCGAGATGACCTACAGCGGCTGACAAACGTTGACGATGTCCTTGGGTAAGGATCTGTCCATAATAGGGTCGAAAATATCGGGAGTGACGTGCCGCATCACGACGTCTGAATGTCAGTTCACTGATGGGCCTTCGTCTCGTTACTATCGTTGCACTAGCAGTCTCTCGCGCAATCCTAAAGCGATTCCTATGATGGCTGCCGACGATGTGCTGGTCTTGTCTTCGTGACGTCACACAACGTCACTCACTCACTCACTCATGTTGCCCTATGACTTTGCTACAGCCTCGAAACTGTCACCTGGTGGACATGGAAGTGATTAGCAACATCTCTCTGTGTCCGGCCAGCTTGCAGCATTCCTATAGCTTGGTCCCTATGGGCGTTGGTCAACCGTGGCATTGTGAATGTGAATGATAGCCGTTTTCTAACCTGAGTACATCATGCACGTGCATGATTTTTTGTTCATCCGACCGATTATCATCACATATGTTCCTCGTGGCGTTCGAGATATCACGTCCCTGTTTTGAAAACGTGAAAATAGAACCTAAACATACTTAGTGAAAACACAATATGCGTTTTAATGCCTCTCGACGTATGTAATTGCTCTTATGAGTACCAAAGCAACTGGACTAGACCGCATAAGATGGAGCTGATGGTATACTCGACATGAAGACGAATTGCACTGTTGGCGGCGAAATAACCCCTCTGGTCATACAACTTAGAGTGAGTGAGTGAGTTTGGTTTTACGCCGCTTTTAGCAATATTCCAGCAATATTACGACGGGGGACACCAGAAATGGGCTTCACACATTGTACCCATACCGAGCGAACGCTTTAACCACTAGGCTACCCGACCGCCCCCATACAACTTAGAACAGAAGTTTGATATCTAACCCAGTGTCGAGCCGTCAAACAACAAGTTTATTATGCAGTTAAAAAATCGAAAGTAATGCGGAAAATCCGATATTACATTATTGACAGTATTGAAGGAAGTGATGCTGGATTGATATTGCTGTTTCGTTGTCTGTTTCTACAGAAACGAAGACACAGTTTGTTCCATGGGAGTTAACTCTTCATTCATCTAGTTTACAGAGTCGTTCCTAAAATCTGTAACTTTGACTGCGCTGATGTGCTGGTGAGAATTCAAAACACAGCACAGTGAAAGTCTAACCTCAAATAAATATACCTGTTCATAGGACCACGTTGTGGGGCATTACAGTATTTGTTTGTTGTTTAATGCCGCACCCAGCAATATTCCAGCTATGTTACGGCGGTCTGTAAATTATTGAGTCTGGACCAGACAATCCAGTGGTTGATATCATGCATAAACTCCGAAACGGTGTGTTCCTCATAATAAAGAAGTTAACATCCATAAATTCTCTACCTTAGATGAATATATGTTCATAAACAACACCAAATTACATTTTCATACATTTATTAAATTCTTCGGCTGATATACATTCCATGTACATCCACAGAACCAAAACGCTAGCCACAAGAGAGTAACTTACATTACGTAACAAAGATAAATGATATAGATGTTAATCGCATATGCTTAGTAAGCGAACGAATGATTAAAATATATGAAAAAGTTCAGCTTTAAAATAATGTCCTTAGCTCGGGGTCATTTTAGCAATTTACGCAAAAGCGAAAATGAAAATATAAGAACTGCAATAATAGTTATCCTACAACATTAGGACATCATGGTGATTAATCATTTTTTATTTGTAACTGGCAAGAGAAACACAGGCCAACATTTTATCCTTTGGTGTCTGTAACAGGTGCCCGCCTGTTGATGAGACAAACGCCAAGGACAAGACAGGCTCCAAGGAGGACGAGGACAACGACAGCCAGGCCAATCACTGCGGCTGTTAGGTTGATTGTACCAGTCCGCGCAACAGCGTCTTGAACAGCACTCTTTACTGGAAGGAGACAATTTCACAAACAATAAAATGTATACATAAAAAACCGTTTTTTTCTATTCACCCCAAAACAAAAACACTGTAAATCCGCTCGTTTTAGATTGATAATAACGTACCTTCGGATGCTGCAAATGGGTCGTTGACTCTGATAAATGTGACAAGCGTTTTTTGTTCAGTGGAGTTAGACGAGGGAACTATTTCTCTCTTCTTACGCCCGAAACCGTCAGTTCCATCAGTACACGTTACCTATAAACAAGAATAAAAAAATGTTATCCGTGATTCTGCAGTTACTCCGATACACTCGTCCTATATTTTTGTATTTGTCTGGGAGGATGTTAACGAATGTTAACCTACCGATTTCTGCATAATGGTAAGAACTTCATTTTCGTTTAGTTGTATGTTTAGTTTAATTAAACTATCACATAACCGCCCTTTAATCACAAGTCTGTTCTGCTACGTTGCCCTAGAATCCCAAATGTTGAATTAACTGTATTGTTAAACTGTTTAAACCTTTGATTATTCAGTTAAATAACAAACATTTATTGTAATTAGACAATAAAGCTCAATGAGAATTATATATTATATACACTCACCGCTGCGCATTCGGTCATTTGTCTGCAGACAAGAACTGTACACTCGTAAGTGACGGTGACACCTGATGTGAACTTGATAGCTGTTGTTTCAATCGTTACTGGACTGCCATCTGTACGCGTGGTGCCTTTAACAAATGTCTTTGCGGGACAACTGCAGTTAAAGAATTCAAGTTTTAGTTCAGTTTCGAGTAATGGAAATTGTCGACAGTAAAGATTAATAAAAAAATATTTTTACCCTGACGATTAAAACCATACCTGTTCGTAATAAATTCAACTTCATTGGTAAAGGTATCTTTGGCTTTGCACGAGAGGACGCGTATTGCAGCAAAATCTGTTGAAGAACATTTTAGAATCATGGAGTTATGTCAGATTCCTCAGATGACAATGTCATATAAATTATTTTAAACGTAAAAGCTAATGACACATAAACATGTCCTCAAAGACTAAGCAGAAAAAGTAAATATAAGATAGTGTCGCGATGATGCATGGAAAGGTATCTACTAAAACTTGAATGTAATAAAACAATATATACCAGATTCAGAATCAAGTGTGAATTCCAGCTTAACCGTCGAACCGATATCAACTGCAGACCCACTGATTATTAGGGCGTCAGAACCGTCCTTCATCACAACCGTCACAACATCCCCTGGAGGGTCTGCATCAACGTTTGTTGGAGTCAGTCCACTGAAATCAGTACATTTTAGAAACTACTAAATTCAAATTGTGATTAAGATATTAATAATTAAATTTTCGTTGTGTTCATTGTAATTCCTGAATTTTGATTACCTGAATTTGTCATGTGTTATTGCATTCATTTCCAAGTGAATGTAAAAAAAGTAAGCGGACTACTTTTATTACTGCGGAATGTAGGGGAATCCCAAAATCTTCCCCTAGTTCTTCTCACCTCTTGCCTTGATTAACAGGTTCTTTGAATTTTGTTTTGATCCCAATCTCCGTTGATTGGCTACTGTCTTTGTGGCCGTGTCAAGTCATGTGCATATATTAAACAATCATCAGATTCATGTCACGCCACAGTATGTATTCCTGCACCTGGAATGTTTATCAATCGCGTCATACAACTCTTTTGTTAAACAATTGTACATGTTTTCGTTGTCCAATTGAACTCATACAGTTTGCACATCGGTTTTTCTATTCCTATCTCAATGGAAAAAAAAATCCACAGTCAATCCTTAAGTGATTTGAAGCATATAAACTGGAGTATTATTATTAGAGTTCAACAAAGTGCAAATGTTATGGCAGAAATAGGGATGTGTGAACACTGTAACAAAGCTATTTGGGGAATAGAGCACGGGGCCATGGAGCAGTATGTCCAATGTTAATATGTGTCTATCAAGATAATGAGAACACATATAGCTGTGTTTTCTACATTATATCACGTTATTTATGACAAAGTAAAACCCTTATTTAGGCTTTTAATTTTATTATCGTGTAACAATTATCATATTTGATAGAATCGTCGCGAAAAGGTGTAAGATTGCTGATGCGGTGTTAAAAAGTATCACTCACTTACTCGCTCATATTTGTAAGAAAAAAGAAGATGTAGCCCTTGCTTTGATGTTGTACGGAATTTTTTTCTAAAATCTTGACAAGCATGTTGCCATCACAATCTCGTTAACTTGTCAGGAGGGTTTTACCTTTCAAGTATGTTAATGAGACGAGGACACGGAAATATACTTACTTTTCTGACAAGGACAAGGCTTCGGTGGTAACCGTCTTCTGTGCATCACCGCAGCAGAAGGTGGCCTCAAAATCGAGCCCTGTGAGATACAAGGCTTCATACCGGCAAATCACTGTAAAGCACTTAGTGGATACTCCATCGACGTCCTGTAATTTAACATTACATACAATAAATCCTTTTGTTTATTGAGAAACACAATAATAATTTATTCACATGACATGTGGATAGTACAGTGTATGTAGTGGCATTACTTCATGACCTTGTCATTCATTTCTATTAAAATTTTACTTTTTTATGTTAGCTTAATTACTACAACAGTTGTTCCAAACCGTAGTTGCTGTCGGTGGTCCACAGTTTGCAGGGTCTGTAAGGGATGCTTCCACATAGTTTCCCGTCCAGCCCCCCGGTGTTCCGGTGGGTGTAGTTGTGGTAAAGCTGCAGGTGCTCTCAAAGCCCTTCACATAACACGTTGGGGTACCGGGTACGTTGACGTTCAGAATGTGGTACCCAGCATTTGAACAACTCACATCCACTGCAATTCCACAGGAAAGGATTGCGTTAGCGTATTAGTGGTGAGTGTGACATGTCGTTAGTCAATAATATCACTTTAACACAACGACCTGCGTCTTTCCTACCATATTAAGCTGTCACGTCTTTGTATGAATAAAATACTGATCAAAGCGTCAATAAAACTCAAAGACACTCGAGTAGAGTGTAAATGAACCAACATTTGTGGCCTCTCACGTAATCATCAGACAAGCATCTTCGCGGTTGTAACACAGAAGACTGTCTCCTAAGGCGGTAACCTGGTTAAATTCTTGTGAGTGAGTGAGTGAGTGAGTGAGTGAGTGAGTGAGTGAGTGAGTGAGTGAGTGAGTGAGTGAGTGAGTGAGTGAGTGAGTGAGTGAGTGAGTGAGTGAGTGATTTAAGTCACATCGGCAATGTTTCAGCCATATCGTGACTATTAAATCTGTTTTACCTCAGTGACCACATAATAGCTAATCTAGAATTATTTTCGCCTGGTTATGCTGCTGTATTCTACCTTGGAATCTCCATGGCATCAAGCGTGTTGTCGTTAATTTATCTTGCGTGTAATTGTAGGACTCAAATATTATCTTAACTCCTTAAGATGAAATAATGAATGTGAACACCTTCCACACCCTATTAAATGTAAAATATTAACGCCATAAAATAACCAGTCTCAATTATTCACCGAAACAGTTTCAATCGGATCTTTGAAAATCGCATTCCTAAGCAGAAGGTGCACTTGTATAACTTAATAAATAGGTAATGATGAACTTTTATTTGACCTTAACACATACATGTTAAGACTTCGAAAGCCGTTTTATTATTTTAGTTAGCCCTTCCATACATACATATTTCCTTTCTTTTAAAGAAGGAGAACCACAACACATTTTTTTTCCGAACATCCGTGTTCAATTTACGCATCTCTTATGCTACCCGAGGACAAATATTTATTTCCGGCATTTTCGGGACCCCCTGCAACCCAACCCTCTACACAGCTAGCGATTAATCAAATATTTCATATTAATGATAAAATTGTAATGTAATACAATGTAATTGTAACTTTATTTAATCTTGTACATCGGAAGTCTAAGGACTAATTCATTTCAATAATCAAAAGCAATGATTTACCAAGAAGCAAATTGTTGAAATTGCCTGACGAGGATATATGGATAAATATGGATATAAGCAGAAGGTGCACTTGTATAACTTAATATAAAAGTAAAGATGAACTATCATTTGACATTAACACATAGATGTTAAGACTTGTAACAGTGACCTTTTTGAAAATACTGATATGGTAAAGGTTGTTCTTGTTCTGTTGTGGAAAAGGGCAAATTGGGATGTAAACATACTGTGACAAAATCGATATCACCGTCATGATCATCCAATGTTCCTTTAACAGCATACAGTAGAGGTTAACTAGTAAAGATGTTTCCTTCTCAAATGTGAAATACAAAAGCGGAAGATGTACTTACATGTTTTGTACTGGCATTTGGGTCCGTAGAATTTCTCTGAGCAAACACATGTGGTATCATCTGGTAGGCATATAGACCCGGTGTTTTCACAACCACAACCACTGCCAACGGATGTAGTATCTGAAAGAAATCGGTTATGAAGTTAAAGCGAAAACTTCATGTTTAAATGTACATCTTTCATGGTAAACATATTTCTGAAAAATTCAATAACACACATTTGTTGAATTACGTTTCAGTGATGAGAAATGAGAAGAACAAATTAAGATTTGCGCACTTTACCTCGTACACGAACGCCTAGATCACACTCTCACAAACCATCCTACATAAGATCAGAGCAATTAGAGTGTGGCATACAGTTGTTTGTTTGTATGTTGTTGTTTGTTTGTTTGTTTGTACAATGTGACTGAGTTGGGCATCCAGGTTAAACTGCGTTATGGTATCTCGGTGGCCTAGCAGTCTATAATTATAAGTCAGGAGCACAAGCACATCCACAGACAGACAGACAGACAGACAGACACACACACACACACACACACACACACACACACACACACACACACACACACACACACACACACACACACACACACACACGCACGCACGCACGCACGCACGCACGCACGCACACACACACACACACACACGCACACACACACACGCACACACACGAATGCACATCACTACACACTTGCCTATAATCTGGAACACGATGTTAAACCCCATTTCACCTCACCCCAACCAGTGTGTGACCTATTTTTGCGGAGGACTTTCACAGGACTTTTATGACCACCTACCTGTTCCACAGTCATAGTTGCCATTAGGAGATACACACGCACAGTCTCCGTTGCTATCGCATGTGTCAGCTGCACAAGTGTCACTCGTCCTTAAGCAATTGAATTCTGAAATTATCAGCATCATGCAACGATTATTGATAAATTACATCCACCCAAATAGCGCCGTTCAGATTAATGGTAGGGGAAATTACAATGTAACTCATCCTCTGCTTGTGAACAACATGGCCAGAAACTGGCATATATAACCTACATGACGGCGTCATAAAAGTAAATTTGGTGGACATCCATATCGTGTCTTCAGAATTGCTTAAATGTCATGTTTCAGTGCAGGTTTATTTGAAACGAACTTTCTACGTCATTCTATCATTCATAGTCAAATTTACATTATAAGCCCAATTAAGATATGCTTTTCATGATAAATATCAATCTTCTGGATCTATTTAACAGACATCTCATTTAATGCTCGACTGAAGATAATATAGGCATGAAGCTCAGGAAAAGAATCAAACATGTTTGTCATTCCAATAACGTCTGAAGATATAGATGTATGTTAACTTCAAATCTATGTATACAATGGACATCGTACAAGTAATTAACATGGTGTAAGAAACAGCCTCTTAACAGATATTTCGCTATCTTACTAGTACTGATTGCTACAGTATTTGCTTAGACTGTAGTATATATACAAAGCACTGCTGACCTACCTGCCGAGGATTGTACTTGCACAAAAGCAATTCCAATGATTCCTAAAAGTTGCAGCAGTCTTTGCATCGTGTTATGATGGTGTCTACATAAAGAGGGAATAGAACTGACAGTTTGACATAAATACTGCTGACAACGATATCATGCAGGTTTAAAACAATGCGGTTGTTATGTTGCAAATGAAATGCCAACGGTTCGGCAATTCGAAGGGGGGAACATAGGAAATGTACCTCAACTGTTAGCATCTTCCCGTGACAAAGGAGTTAACTTACTATTAAAGTCCAGTTTCCATCCTTGCCGAATTCCTTGGTTGTATTTTTGGCTGGACTAATGAGTTTATGCATAGTCCAATCAAAATTGCGTAACCAAATGGACTTCCTGTTTGTAAAGAACATTTCGGTCGATTGCAGGATTTGCAAAGCAAGTGTACTTTCAACTAGGCGTTAACAGATACTGTCCAAACCTTTCATGTTTTTAATCTACCTGTTTTGGTGTTGTGCGACAATCCACACGCACTGGACTTCTGTAGGACAGGGAATGTGAAACGTCTCTTCGAGTAATTTAATCAGATCGTCTTGAGTGGGCGACGCCATTTTGAATGAAGCAAATGCAAGTGATATGAGAGGTGGAATCTGAGTACTGAATAGGGGGGACATAGAAGGGACATAACTCGTAATAGACACCGGCGCTGGTACGATGGAGCCTTGACATTCCAGACTAGTTCGACAAGGGTGGAAACTTGACTTTTATAGTCAGTTCCCTTGCCTCGGGAAGATGGTTAGCGGGGTACATTGGACATAATAAAATGGGTCACAGCCAATCAAGAGCGGCCCGGTAGCCTAGTGGTTAAAGCGTTCGCTCGTCACGCCGAAGACCCGGGTTCGAATCCCGACCTGGGTACAATTAGTGAAGCCCAATTCTGGTGTCCTCCGCCGTAATATTGCTGGAATATTGCTAAAAGCGGCGTAAAATCAAACTCACTCACTCATACTCACAGCCAATCAAAATCCGACATTCATGCGTAAGGTAATCCATTTATGGATTATTTCTCTTCATGTACTGGGTATGAATCGACTCATCACAGAAGTGGTTATTCGGTGGTCCAAATTAATGAGGATGTCCGAGGATGCTTAAAGAGGGATATATAATAGTTTTTCCTGAGGTATAGTTTCATTCTTGAGCAATATAGTAAAACCTAACATTACCAATATCTTTTGTATATACCATGTCGATAAACATTATATGTGGTTCAGTGCCTTGAGAACTAGTGTGGCCGCCTCCGTGGTCTAGTGTCCACCCGGAGAACGGAAATTCAGGGGTTCGATCCCCTGCCGCGACATACGAAAAGACGTAAAAAGATAGTACTTGTTGAATGTCTGGCGCTCGGCAATATGGGGTCGGCTCGGAGTCAGTAGTTTGTGTCTGAGTGAGGTTTTCATGCTAAACTGCGGCATGGTATCTCAGTTGGCTTGCACTAAAAATTGGCATTAGTCTGGACTAGTGCAATCAGCCACGCTCACACACGTGCGTGCACATCGCTATATAAGTGCGATAATCTTGAAAGCGACGTTAAAGCCTATTTCATCTGATCTCACCTGAGAACAAGTGTGCCAATGCTAATGTATTTTCACCCCTGATACTTGGATTTTTGTTTGAAATCCATGACGTTTCTTGTGTTTTGCTAACCCAGCATAGCATATTACTGACCAAACATGAAATTTTATATTAATCCGAATAAATCACAACTACCAACACGACCGTTGAATGCTTCCCTTATCACATAAATAGTTCCCTTTAAACCGTTTCAGCCCCATGGGGATTCCGGAGACGGATACATTTCCAGAACTCCATGTATATTGTGAGAACCGACTAAAGAAGATTGGATAATCAGGCACGGAAACTGGTTTGTCTGGTCTAGGATTCGATCATTTACAGGCCACTGTGAAATTAACTGGCATTTTGCTGAATCCTGCCATCACCATTCACTCATACATTCTATTTTAACTATTTGTAGTAAAAAGCGAAGTCCAGTAGCAATTGCTTTTAGCTGAACATTTTGAATGAAGGTTATCATGCATGTGTACGGCAAATCACTCGTCAGTGTGAACCTTATCCGTACAAGTGAAGACTTCATTGGTTCCCCGTTAAATGTTTTTAGTGAAGCGTCACATGGTCGTATTCAGCTAGAATGTGGTTGAATGTCCAAGTGCAAATAAGCATAAAACGGGCAACTAACTATCGCAGTGAAAGTACAGAATACGCCGTTTTTAAACATCTATCCTATAGTATCCTCCTTTAACAAATTTCTGTAGACTTCAACGCGAAGCTACATCACCCCATTGCATGTCTAACATGGGCATTTGTATGTTCGACATTAATTATTCAACGGATGGAACCGAACAAGCATAGACATAAGATCAGGTGAGATGTAAATATACAGTTCAATGATGAAAAGCCAACATGTTTAAAAAGTGCGTTACAGTGCGTTTGGATATCGCCGACAGCGGCGTAAAACAAGAAAGAAAAAATATAGATGGAGAGGATCGGCAGATACAGGCACATAAAGAAACATATCATGGAACCCATGAACCAAAACACCTAAGTGAATGACATAAATACTGATTCATATAATGATAAGAGATTATGGTTCAGTAGCCACACTAATGTGAATTCCCCAACACAACCGTGAATATGGACCAGCACATCAACCGTTACATTCACGGTTGCGCATAAACTATATGCTTTAAAACGGAAAGAAGTGGTTCGAGGTGTATACAGCATGATCGTGTCTATCTGTAGAGCAATATAAATAAATCTATATGATTACAGTAACATTTTGCATTCGAATGCATTTTCTTTTCAAGTCTTTCTATGTGATATATACTCGAGGTACTTTAAGCAAACCGTGCATGTATGTTGAAAGTTTCATTTCATTTTTTTCTGCCTCAAATTGAATTAACTAAGACCGATACAGCGATGGAAAGACCATATATTTTGTGGTAAAAAAGAAAGCAATGTTACGCTTTGTCCTTCATCGGACTTCATGGGTTTATGGAGCCGTCCATAAAATCAAACACTTCACCTTAACTACTCTGGTTTTTACCTGGTACAACAAAAACACACATGACCAAGTAAAGCATGCTTATTTCAGAATTATTGGACATGAAGGAAACGTCCTGTAAGAAACAATTGTATCAGTTGTTACTGCGCCTTTCACCAGCATGACATAACCTTTATCTGGTAAAAACATGAAGAAGGAAACCTGTTTAATTATTTCATTACAGTACTGTACATTTATGTTTTAAAATAACCTTCATATATGATATTCACATGTTGTTTTAATGTATGTAAATACGTGTAGATACGTGGAAACATACATGACATATTTTCGAATTCTACTTATACATGTATATCGATGTTCAATTTGTTACGAATTCTGAAGGCAACACGTTCAAGCCCAAAATAACATGAAGCGATGGAAAAGCACTCACCACAAGTTTGGATAGGTTATTTATGACACCATTTGTCCATGAAACGGATGAATTTGTCCTGTCCTTCATTTAGTCATAGCATGCGTTGGCCACGGGTATGCAAGGGACTACATTAATATATGTGACCCAAAGAATTATACGCAGTAAATAACATATTTTGTTTGCATCAATACATCGAACACACAACAGTAGAAATGGTTATTGTCAGAGAACACAGCGCTACTTAAATCCCCAATGATTTTTTTTAAAAAGATTTTCAAGTGGTATATCTCAGTACATCAATGAGGACACACCTGCACAACCATAATCGTAAAAACAAACAGTGCATATTAAGTAAGTGAATGCACATCAAGATGCGCAAGTGCCACTTTTCTACAACCATGTGTCTCTAACCTACCCTGCTGAAACATAACCAGCACTACGCTAGACTTTCACATTACCGTGCAACCTGTTATTCTGTACAGAAGATTACTTAAACAAAGATTTACAGTTTGTGTACAAGTCGTGTATAAAGCACGATTAGGCGCAAAGCCCACATTTACGTATTTGCAGCATTGTATTTAAAAACAAAACACATTGGCAGTGATAGATGGAACATATATCTCATAGCAACACATATATCTTACATGTTATGTTTTCTTATTGGTTATATCTTAAAAATACTTAATATATTAGAAATAAGTATTGCCATTCAAAAGGATCTTGTTTATTGAAAAGAATAAAATGCAAACACGAATGACAGTAAAGTGTATAGAAAATGTACGTAGAAACTAATACCTACCTGAAACTTCCAATTTAGATGTAATTTATATCGTCTTCAACTTTACCCTGGACCGAGGAACTCTGACCGTCAACCAAACCCCTACCTATTTATAAAAAAACAACAAGAATAAACACGCCCCCAGGTTCGATAAAAACAACCCATGCTGTTTTTCTCGTCTGCCTGTCATGAATGCCCCTCAAGACTATTGGCCCATCCAAGGGCGGAGACGTATCTCTTTAGTATTATGTATTATCCTTGCATCAACCAATTGTGTACTCCACTGGAACAAAGAGTTATATTTGGAATCCTATAAAAAGGAAAACACGATACCATTTAGATTCAGAAAGTAATGTTGATTTCTACAGAAAGATTACTGCTATGTTTGATGGTGGTTTTACTAAAACAAACAAGAAATGTGTATTCGATGGTGATGTATGTGATACGGGTATTATAGTTGTGTTGTGGACCATATGTTTGCAGTGTTTGCCCACTGTTTGCAGGGTTCTCAGCCTCGTTGCGTTTGATAACGTTTGTAATCGTTTGATCAAATCCAAGATTGGCGTGTACACTTTCTTATGACCGACATTTTAAATGCATTGCTAAGCACGAATCATTCATTTATCCAGATTTTTATTAGTCTGGACGATTGCATGGAGACTGATACTGTCAGGTTGATTAAATGCTCATTGTAAAGGTTTCACTGCATTTTTATCAAGGTATCCCTTAGGCTTACTGTTATTAGTTATATATTGAACATGACATTTTATCTACCAACACGGTCATGAAAAGCAGCATCCAATTATGAAATTAAATTACATGTGATGTTAATACAGTGTATAATCTTAATGCTGTGCAAAGTTTCTTCTTTCAAAACAGATGAATGATATTTCTCGATAACGTCAATTACGATATGTCTTCTCCTTTGATTTTATTACATGCAAAACGGGGATAGTCGAAGACGGCGTAATATGTTGTATAAAGATGCGTTCTTTAAGTGTGCCAGTAACCTATGATAGTGGGTTCGAATCCCACAGTCACACCAGTGATGTTTCTAGGTTCGTCAGCACCATGTCATTGCACGTGTGTTAGTTAACGTCTAAGACCTGCATCACTACGGGTTTACCCCCCACATCGAACTGTGACATAGCTTAAATATGTGCATATTTATAAAGCGACAAAACCCTTTCATAAAGTGTCTATTGTACGATTCCGACTACATCATGAATATGTGTTTATGAATCACTATCAAAAAGTGATGAGGTTTTCGCAAAATGTTGAGCGTACCCTGTCCTACCAGTGGCACATGTCACAAACACATGCAAAGGTAAGTCAATTGTTCACATAAAAAAACACGGGAACATATCAAAACACGGATCCAAATCAAAACAGGGAATTGCATCGGACATCAGTATTGTCACTTTGCGTCAAATTTGGTAATGTCCTCCACATGTCTACCATAAAACTTTTTTTAAAGCCTTACTGAGGCCTTGATTGTTGTAATCTTGATTAAAGACCTTTTGAGTCGTATGACGTTCTTTGAAATCCTGCAATCTCAAAATTGTATCTCAAAAGTTGTGAAGTACCCAAAAATACCAAAGCTAAACACTGAAACAATTGCCATACATTGCAAAGACCTATGTCACATTACGATATGTACTGATCAGATGGCCCTGGAACGTTATGGTGCAGGGGCATCTGACAATTAATGGTGTAGGTTTTAAAACATACATGTGTATTCAAGTTAACCGTCGGATGTGAGTGTGCGATTGATGTTTTTAAACACCAGTGTTGCATATCGTCTATTTTGACGTGGTGTTCACGGACCAACACGGAGGGTTTTTGTTTCCATGACCAAGTGTAGAGGTCCTAAACTCTCTCTGATTACCACTAGAGAGCATGCCCTAAACTGTCACCCACTACCCTAGTGTTCGGGATCGAAGTTCTCACCTACTAACCTTGTGTACTCGAACTAAACCCTCACCCACTAACCCAGTGTTCAGGTACTAAACTCTCACTTACTAACCAAGTGTTCAGGTACTAAACTCTCGCCAACTACCCTAGTGTTCATGTACTAAACTCTCGCCCACTACGCTAGTGCACAGTGACTAAACTCTCACACACTGCCCTAGCGTAAGGTACTAAAATCTCACACACTAACCTAGCGTTCAGGCACTAAACTCATACCCACTATCATAGTGTTAAGGTACTAAACCCTCACCCACTGCCCTAGTGTACAGGTACTAAACCCTCACCCACTACCCTAGTGTACAGGTACTAAACCCTCACACACTACCCCAGTGTTCAGGTATTACACTCTCACACACTACCCCAGTGTTCAGGTACTAAACTCTCACCCACTGCCCTAGTGTACAGTGACTAAACTTTCATCCACTGACCTTGTGTACAGGTACTAAACTCTCACCTACTGCCCTAGTGTACAGGTATTAAACTCTCACCCACTGTCCTTGTGTACAGGTACTAAATCCTCACCCACTGCCCTTGTGTTCAGGTATTAAACTCTCACCCACTACCCTAGTGTACATGTACTAAACTCTCACCCACTACCCTAGTGTATAGGTAATGAACTCTCACCCACTACCCTAGTGTACAGGTACTAAACTCTCACACACAACCCAAGTGTTCAGGTACTTAACCTACATCCACTAACCTAGTCTTCAGATACTAAACTCTCCCCCACTGCCCTAATGTACAGGTACTAAACCCTCACCCACTGCCCTAGTATAAGGTGCTATATTCTCACCCACTACCCTAGCGTATGGGTAATGAACTCTCACCCACTACCCCATTGTACAGGTACTAAACACTCACCCACTACCCATGTGTTCAGGTACTAAACTCTGAATTTCTAACCTAGCGTTAAGGTATTAAACACTCACCCACTACCCGAGGGTAAATTGAATAATGTCTCAACCATTGCCCGAGCATACAGGTACTAAACTCTCACCCACCGCCAATGTGTTCGGGTATAAAACTCTCATCCACTGCCCTTGTGTACATGTACTCAACTTTCACTCACTGACTTATTGTTCAGGTACTAAACTCTCACCCACTACCCTAGTGTTCAGGTACTAAACTGTCACTTACTAACCTAGTATAAAGGTATTAAACACTCACCCACTACCCTAGTGTAAAGTGACTAATATCGCACCCACTACCCTATTGTTCAGGTACTAAACTCTCACTTACTAACCTAGTGTTAAGGTATTCAACACTCACTCACTACCCGGGGATACAGTAAACCCTAACCCACTGCCAATGTGTTCAGGTACTAAACTCTCACCCACTGTCCTTGTGTACAGGTACTATACTCTCACCCACGGCCCATCTCTTCAGGTACTAAACCCTCATCCACTGCCCATGTGTTCAGGTTTTAAACTCTCACCCACTGCCCTAGTGTTCAGCTACTTAACCCTCACCCACTAACCTAGTGTTCAGGTACTAAACTCTAACCAACTGCCCTTGTGTACAGGTGATAAACCCTCACCCACTACCCTAGTGTACAGGTACTAAAATCTCACCCACTCACATAGTGTACATGTACTAAACTCTCACCCACTATCCTAGTGTATAGGTAATGAACTCTCACCCACTACCCTAGTGTATAGGTAATGGACTCTCACCCACTACGCCAGTGTTCAGGTACTAAACCCTCACCGACTACGCCAGTGTTCAGGTACTAAATTCTCACCCACTACCCTAGCGTACAGGTACAAAACTCTAACCCACTGCCGTAGTGTACAGGTACTAAACTCTCACCCACTGCCCTAGTGTACAGGTACTAAACTCTCACCCACTGCCCTAGTGTTCAGATACTAAACACTCACTTACTAACCTAGTGTTAAGGTAATAAACACTCACCCACTACCCTAGTGTACAGTGACTAATATCGCAACCACTGCCCGAGCGTACAGGTACTAAACTCTCACCCACTGCCCTTGTGTAAAGGTACTATACTCTCACCCGCTACCCTAGCGTACGGTGACTAAACTCTCACCCACTGCCCTAGTCTTCAGATACTAAACTCTCACCCACTGCCCTAGTGTCAAGTGACTAAACTCTCACCCACTGCCCTAGTGTTCAGGTACTCAACCCTTACCCACTGCCCTAGTGTTCAGGTACTCAACCCTTACCCACTGCCCTAGTGTTCAGGTACTCAACCCTTACCCACTGCCCTAGTGTTCAGGTACTCAACCCTTACCCACTGCCCTAGTGTTCAGGTACTCAACCCTTACCCACTGCCAATGTGTTCAGGTACTCAACCCTTACCCACTGTCCTTGTGTACAGGTACTAAACTCTCACCCACTGTCCTTGTGTACAGGTACTCAACCCTTACCCACTGCCCTAGTGTTCAGGTACTCAACCCTTACCCACTGCCCTAGTGTTCAGGTACTCAACCCTTACCCACTGCCCTAGTGTTCAGGTACTCAACCCTCACCCACTGCCCTAGTGTTTAGGTACTCAACCCTCACCCACTGCCCTAGTGTTCAGGTACTCAACCCTTACCCACTGCCCTAGTGTTCAGGTATTAAACTCTCACCCACTGCCCTAGTGTTCAGGTATTAAACTCTCACCCACTGTCCTAGTGTTCAGGTATTAAACTCTCTCCCACTGTCCTAGTGTTCAGGTATTAAACTCTCACCCACTGCCCTTGTGTACAGGTAATTAACTCTCACCCACTGTCCTTGTGTACAGGTACTAAACCCTCACCCACTGTCCTAGTGTTCAGGGATTAAACTCTCACCCACTGTCCTAGTGTTCAGGTACTCTCACTGTCCTATACTTGCTTCATTACCCCAAGTGGGTAGGCCATATACTTGCTCCATTACCCCGAGTTGGTAGGTCCTATTCTTCATTGATGACCCCTAGTGTGTAAGTCCTATACTTGTTTAATTACCCCTAGTGTGTAGGTCCTATACTTGCTCGATAACCACAGTGTGTAGGTCCTATTCTTCATTGATGACCCCGAGTGTGTAGGTCCTATACTTGTTTAATTACCCCTAGTGGGTAGGCCATATACTTGCTTGATAACCATAGTGTGTAGCTCCTATTCTTCATTGATGACCCCGAGTGTGTAGGTCCTATTCTTCATTGATGACCCTGAGTGTGTAGGTCCTTGCTTGTTTAATTACCCCTAGTGTGTGGGGCCTATGCTTGCTTGATAACCATAGTGTGTGGGTCCTATTCTTCATTGATGACCCCGAGTGTGTAGGTCCTATTCTTCATTGATGACCCCGAGTGTGTAGGTCCTATACTTGTTTAATTACCCCTAGTGTGTAGGGCCTATACTTGCTTGATAACCATAGTGTGTAGGTCCTATACTTGCTTGATGAGCCCGATTGGATAGGTCCTATACATGCTTCATTATCCCTAGTGTGTAGGTCCTATACTTGTTTGATGACCCCGATTGGATAGGTCCTATACATGCTTCATTATCACGAGTGTGATGGTCCTTTACTTGATTTATGACCAATAGTGTGTACGTCATATACTTGCATGATGACCCCGAGTGTGTAGGCTCTACACTTGCTTGATGACCACATGTGTGTAGGTCCTATACTTACTTTATTATTCCTAGCCTGTAAGTCCTATACTCTCTTCATTACCCGAAGCATGTAAGCCATATACTCGCTTCGCTTTCTCGGGTATGTAAGTCCCATACTTACTTTCTATGCTTCTGGTGTGTACGTCATATAATTGCTGAATTACCCCAAGTGTGTAGGTCCAAATACTCGCTGCCCTTCCCCTACTGTGTAGCGTGTGTAGCGTCTTTACTCCCTCTCAAGCCCCTAATATGTGTAAGTCCTGAACTTGCTATATTACCCGTAGTGTGTAGGCCCTATATTTGCGGGTAGGTTCTATACTTGCTTCAATACCCGAAATGTGTTGGTACTATACTGGCTTTGCTTCCCATAATATGCGTGTCCTATTCTCACTTCATTAACCCTAATGTTGAGGTCCTGTATTGGCTTCGCTTTCCCTGATATGTAAGTCCTATACGAGCTTAATTACCACTCGTGTGTGAGTCCAATACTGGCTTCGTTTACCATAATGTGTAGGTCCTCCACTTGCTTCATAAACTCTATCCTGTCAGTCACATTCGCATGTGAGCGTGTGAGCCCTGTAGTCGCTTTGCTTGCCCTTGTGTGGAGGTGCTCCACTCGCGTCACGTCCCACTGCATGTACGAGTAGTTACTATTCGTGTGCCCGTGTAGTAAAATCAATTACTGTCTCTTAACAAGATTCAAAGTGAGTTACATGAACGGAAAAAAATTAGCTTCCCCGGCAAGTGAACGAATAAACCACTAGGATATCCCTCCTCCCTGTTTGTGATGTGCGCCTGTAGTGTAAGCACTTTGAGTGTGTAATGAGGTTGGGTTTAACACCGCTTTACCCAATAAATTGGTTATAACACGGCATAAAATCAATACGACTTGTCCTATCCACATAATGATAAATGTATGCATGCTATCTTTATCATGAATATTACCTTGCTTTTATGACTCATACTAATCAGTTTTCCTCCCTCCTTAGTCAATAGCGGGCATTAAACTGTCATGCATAGTTTATCAGAACCTTGATCCTGCAGACCGACCCCACGCGGTCTGGCATATAGTCAAATACAGCACAGGTGCAAAGGTGTTTAGCGACACACCACGTGATGAGTGGCGTCAAATTTCCTTCCTGGTTTAAACAATGTTATACCACACGCTTCTCTGCAGAAACAGCAACTAGAATCAGCTGTATTCACTGAGGTAAGATACTTTCATTACAGCTGCTAATTGAAAGAGTGAGTGAGGTTTTACGCCGCTTTTAGCAATATTCCAGCAATATCACGGCGGGGGACACCAGAAATGGGCTTCACACATTGTACCCATGTCGGGAATCGAACCCGGGTCTTCGGCGTGACGAGCTAACGCTTTAACCACTAGGCTACCCGACCGCCCCTAATTGAAAGAAAGAGACATGATTCAAATACACGTGAAATTTTGATTAAGGTAGAGTATCTATATATTCCTTGCTTAGAGTAATAAATTTATGTGTTAAATATGTAGAATGACTGTTGGTTGTGTTGACCAACATACTGTGGGCTAGAATATGTCAAACATTAACGATACCTATACACATGTACCCCCATGCTCTATCTCACACTTAAGTTTAATACCCTTCTGTAAATACAAATAGTGTTAAATATAAGCTCCCACAAGTGATTTCTCAATATAATGTTTTAGACAGATATTTAACAGATAATGAGAGACGACAGTTACAGAAATACTGGCAAAACATGGCAAATATGCAGACCTCGCTTTCGAAATGTCACACTTGAATCCCAAGTACCAAGTTGTCCGACTCCCCATTGTTCTCGGTGCCTTAGGTTTGGTACCTCCCAATCTGTTGACTGACATTGGGAGAGTACATTTGATCATGTAAGATGCAGTGGCAGACCAATGCTCCCCGCCTTGTTCCCCCACCACACAAAATAATGCAAATAATATACGAACAGAAAAATAATATCTTAGTATTAGTGAAATAATGAAGGATTTATCAGAGCCAACAGCCATCCTTGTCTGATTTCAACTCTATCACTTACAAGAACACATACACACACGCACACACGCACACACGCACACACGCACACACGGAGAACAGTGGGACCCCTTTGCGTCCCGTACACAAGATAACCATGCAAATAATTTACCACCGATCCTCTTACCCTTACGTAATTTTAAGTTGTAAGGGTTGAAACTCGGATCGACATAGCGAATGCAAATCCCTCACAACTGCCATTCAATGTTTACCCAGACTGTTAACTTCGTTTGCTTTTGTTGATTTATAGCCTCAGCGACTAAGATAAGTCTCGTATAATGCTAACCGAGAAGCCTATGTCAGCATGTCCTTCCTTGTCTTGTGATAAGGCAGATTACGATCAGAATTTGTAACCCATATAAAACGAAAAGCTTACATATTGAGTGGTGGTGGTGGTGGTGGTGTGTGTGTGTGCGGGTGGGTTGGGGACTGGTGGGGGGTATTGTGTGTGTGTGTGGGGGGGGGGGGGGGGGGGGGGGGGGGCATGATTGTGTGTTCGCCCCGATTATGTTTCTAGGTTTGTCAGCACCATACCCGTGCTGGTGGTAAACGTCTGAGGCCTGCATCACTTCGGACTTTCCTCCCACATTAAGCTGACACGCCGTGATATCACTGGACTACTGTTCAACGCGGCGTTAAACCAAACTCACTCACTCATTCCATCAACTCTTAACGAAAGGTATCTTCCATTGTGTCTGCCATCTCTCAACGATAGAAAGGCATTCGTACAGAGATGCCTATACATGACACAGTGACTATCTGGCTTCCAACTAAAATATAATTAAACTATTGTATCCAACAAAACCATACATCACTAAATCTGTTTCTGCTCTTCAACTTGTGTAAATTCCGTTGCAACATTTAGATTACAATAAGTTATCAACACAATGCGAGATTACAGTAATCTCAATGATAAGCTCAATAATAACCATATCATCCTTATCTAATTAGTCTATTGATAAGCTATTTTCAACCTTTTAATAATGTTCAGTTAATCGGTCAAATGGACAGAGTTTCAATGAAATTGTAAAATGACTGAAATGTGTAGGCATTCTGTAACATGGAATACTTGAATCAGGCAGTTAACAATCAGTCCGAAAAATTCAGGCAATTTACAAACTGACTGACACATTGACAGCAACACATCAATATCATCTGTGCGTATCATGTCTGGTCCAGACGCTCGCACGCACGCACGCACGCACGCACGCACGCACGCACACGCACATGCACGCACGCACACACACACACTATGATTAAACACAAATCTCAAGTATGTTTCATTTAAAAATATGTTTTAAATAGCATTGCATTTCAAACAATTATCTTCTTTGCAGATAGCTCCTGTGCCTCCCGATGTGGCGATCCATCAGCACAAGCTCCTTGATGTCGGTATCGTTTGTTTGTAGCTCGCTGTGCGTCTAATTAGTGTTTACACAACTAGCGTGCATAGCACCAAATGTCTTGGCGGGCCCACCCGCAACGCGCCGTGGTCGGACGAGAGGGGAGCGAGCATCGGTTCGCGGTTTTGCGTCGTCGCAGAAGGCGCATCGCGTTCGTGGCCCGCGTGGTTTAAGCCAGTGAGCCCCTCCTCACGGGAGATGTGGACTTCCCCCTTGAGGAAGGTCTAACCTCTAAGCAACATGTAAACATAGTCTTTACCAGTTTTGATTCCTGTAAAAATGGTCATTCAAGCTGAAGGTAAGTGAACGAGATCTGAGTCTTGGCATCTATCAGTTGAATACAGGTAAGAAAGAATGAATGGCAAAGTGCGAAGTATGAATGCAAGAATGGTAAATGGTCTGCAAAGCATTTTAGTGAACTTTGGTTGCAACGATAACTCCAAGGAGGCATTGCTTGATCTCACCCAAGCGATATCTCTCGTAGTAGATAACTTTAGACTATAAATTACAGATGTGATACGAAAGAGGCATTCTGTTTGTTTACTCACCTGAATTACTTTTTATGAATACTTTATTTAGCGGTGTTACAAACAGCATGTCTCTTCTATTTGTATGAAGAATAAAGCAAGGTCCATATTCCAGCAACCACGACCCCTGCGCCCACACCTCCTTCCGGTCCTCTCCCGGAAGTGAACCTAGGACAAAGCTGCAATTACGCCCACTGCGCTCAGGTCAACAGCGCATGCGTTACGAAGGCGGACGGCATCAGAACCTGCGAGTGTGTGAATAAATATCTACAAACGAATTCGACATTCTGCAAAAGAGGTACACATTATTATTATTATTTACAGATTAAAATTAAAAATGCAGCAAAGAGGGTTTGGGTGATCCGGGCACAGTCAGGCTGATTAGGCTCATCGTCGGCTCAGGGCCCTTGGCCCCTCTACACGCTGCTCAGACAGAGAATGGGACTTCTCCCAGGAAGCACTGCCTAGTCAAACCCACCCAGAACTTTTCGGAGAATGTGAAGACTCCCCAACACTACGGCCTTCTGCATTACCCAGATTGTCAGAAGGGCTGTATTCCTGGTAGCAAACCCTGGTACTCTCCCAATGTCAGTCAACAGATTGGGAGGTACCAAACCTAAGGCACCGAGAACAATGGGGAGTCGGACAACTTGGTACATGGGATTCAAGTGTGACATTTCGAAAGCGAGGTCTGCATATTTGCCATGTTTTTCCTCAGTCTTGTCAATCACATTACTGTCAAAAGGGACAGAAAATTCAATGATATATACGATTTCATTGAATTTATCAAAAAGGACAAGATCAGGTTTGTCTGAGGATATGTCTCAGGCTGTAAACGGGCTTATTCCAAAGGATTTTGTATTTATCATTTTCCATGACGTCCTCTACATATTCAGGGTCGTACCATTGATGGACCTCTCTGTCAAAACCACAAGCATGGCGAAGACGGTAATAAAATGATCGAACCACTCCATCATGTCGCTTATGTGTTTTTTGCCACAGCTGGGCATCCACTGACAATGTTTTGGACAGTCTCATCAAAATCATTACATAATCTACATTTCATATTTACATTTTGATGCAAAATCACACATTGACGGACGGTTTCGAGAGGGGAGTGACTGGTCCTGAGCAGCAAAGGAAAGCCTTCTGTTTCACTTTTCAGGCCAGCCGACTTCATCCAAGCGAAGGACTCTGTAGGGTTGCTGACCTTCTCAACGCTGTGCACATAAAGCCTCTCCTTGAGTCTGAGTCCAGCAGTACATAACCATCAACAAAATCGACATTGACATTGAGATTGTGACCCACATCCTTGGCTCGTTTTATATTATACATTAGCGTTTCGTATAAATTACGGGTAATAATTGGGGACAACACTTTCATCATTTATATTACACTATACTGACAAAGAGTTGCCGAAATTGATACCGAAAATGAACTGTCATTCCTGCATGGATTGGGATTGATTTGTGTGGAAGGAATGAGTTACTGCCGAAATTTGGCTGAAAGATAGAAAAATCTCAAAAACACATCACGTGAGAACCTGATGTCAAAACACACCAACATGACATGTACGTGCACCATTATTTGTTGGGCTATGAAAGCGTTGGGTTTTCATTTGCATACCATCACAATCCTACAGCAAGTGAACAGCGAAAACATGCCAAGACTGACAAACCCAACTCAACAGTACCATCGGCCGACTGGATACAGGAGAATCATCTTCATCTGTTGCCAGGTTTTCCATGTAGCACAAAGCATCATTTCAAGACTGGAACCGTTATCAGACACACGGGACAACACGTGATCTTCCCAGATCCAACCAGCTACTACTAGAGTTCAGGACAGCTTCATACTTACGTGAAAGAACAAGCACAGCTCCTCCACAACTGCGACAATAGCAGGAATACGTCTAGGATATCTGCCCAGACAGTGAAGAACCGTTTACGCGCTGAAGGTATTCGCGCTAGACAACCGAATGCGAAGCGTCATTTTGACCAATCTCATTAAAATCAGATCTTAGGTCTCGCTATCGCTAAACAAAGGACATCCCATTACGGGTCACGTCAGAACGACCTTTCATCCGACCAATCAAAGCGTCGCTTACCAGATAATAAAAGTGACTATCGGAATGTGTTTTCGAATCATTCAACCTCGAAAACGTTAACACGGTGTATTCCGAACGACAGTTACGGCCCGTACGACTGATTCCGTCAACATTATCGTCTATCTCTCGCTTCTGTGGGATAAGCACTTGAACGGAGGAGGCGTTGTACAGTACGCGGGAAGCGCTGCCATACAATCTCAACCATATATTAGACATTCCGGAATGTTCGTTTGTTCAGTTTTCAAAATTTTAATCGAGAACTGTGTCAAAATATTTTTCAAGCGTAGTCGCCAGGTTGAAACGAGTGCCGTAAAGCTTGAGAAAGCTGCTTTCTAATTGGCTGATATCGACTTAGTCATTTCAGTGGTCGGTCAAAGTTCGCGAAAGGTCGTTCTGACGTGACCCGTAATGGGATGTCCCCAGATCTTTGTTTAGCTGCAGCGAGAACTTAGATCGGATTTTAATGAGATTGCATTTTGACGGAGCTGCATCGTCGGCTGCGACGTCAATGGTCTCAAAGTCACTGGGTATGACCACAACTCGTTTGGTTTAGTCACGTTTTATGCTTCGCCGTGCGGACGGTAGACGTCGTGTTTACAGGCGTCGCTTGGAACGTTATGCATGAAACTGCATACAGTAAGTGGACGGATTCGGTGGTGGTAGTGTAATCAGCCTTCTCCTGCATTGGTAAAAATGATTTGGTGCAAGTTTGGGGGAATTTAACGGCACAACGTTACACGGATGAGATTCTTCGGCCACATGTCCTTCCCATTATGCAACAAGCAATCGCCATTTTCCAACAAAACAACGCCCGACCTCACTAACAACAACCTTTCACAGGAATCACAACATCCAGGTCCTGCTATGGCCTTCCAGGTCTCCAGATTTAAACCCAATGGAACATTTTAGGGATCCATTTGATCAATGACTGCGAACACATCAACAACAACCACAGAACCCCCGACAGTTGGCACAAGCACTGCAGAGGATGACCACTCTCCAGGCCACAATTTAGGATCTGATTGCTTCCATGGGACGACGATGCCAGTCAGTTCTGGTCTCTAATGCTGGCCATATAGGATATTGAGAACAGATGACAAACACCTTGAAAATCTACTGTTCAATGTGTGCCATATGGAACCTGGGCCAATGGCAATGATGTATTCCAATTTCTAACAATCGATTACCATCTGTAATGATACATAAAATATACATCTTTAATTACTTTTGCGTTTACTTTTTGGCAGGGCAGGTTGTTTTTTTTTGTATTCGCGGAACCTCCCAAGTAAGACTTCTTATTACCGACAACCTAACGATAAACCCGCCAATTGAACTGACAGAAATCCCCTTATCATACATACAAGAAGACTAATACATGGATGATTGTAGACTTATCTCGACCTTCACTCACGGCGGATGTTATCGATAGGGCCGGTCATGCCCAGCCGTTTCGAGAACACCTGCTGTTAGCATTGTCATTTTTACTATGACGCGATAGTTGCCTTCATTTCGCGTTAACACTGTTTGGGTGAGTGTGATTGGTTTAACGCAGATTTGAACAACACTTCGGTTATGTATGGCTGTGTCGGTTCAATGTTGGAGCTCAGCGAGGATCCAACTTAAGAGTAAATCCCCAGCACTCTATTAGGGTAAACTGATTGCGTGTCATCGCTCCCTGTCATATATGAAGTATATAACTGCATGCCATAGCATCTATAGTTCATGTACATGGTCATGAGTTATGATTCAATAGTAATTAAATAGCTGACAAGCTTGCATTAGCATTGAAGTTCATTGCTACTTTGTACTTTCCTGTTATTGATGAAGGACTTAATATTCACAGAAAGTATTTGAGACAAGTGGAATTGCTATCTCCGAAAAGTTCAATTGCGTTTAAAAAGACTTTTTAAATTTACAATTTGTAACACCCAAATTGATTTTTTAACTTTGTAGGCACGTCCCCACGCGAGCTTTATTTCTTTATCCAGAAGGTATTTGTCAGTAAATGTGGTGATCACTCATATACTTACATCGCTCTCTTTAATGGTTGAGGACCGTTTGTCACAAATGAAAGTATATGTAAATATCGTTTTGCCTTTGCTTGGAAAGCATTTTGTGAAATGCTGGAGTTCCTCATAGAAGACATCTGTGTGGGGTTTGGGGATGGGACGTTTGGGTAGGAGGTACCCATGGACACCAAGTGTGCTCCCCTCCTTTACATTGGTTCTTTGCATACGGGTCTGTTTGGATTGGCAAAATCAAAGCAAGGTTATTTGGCCAAGAAGTGTAACTTCCGCTTCAGGTGACCCGCAAGGGACGCAACCCTTTACATGGAATTACCGCGTCTTAAATGGACATTCCATTTCCTGTTTCCTAACAAAGTATTAATGTCCAAAGCATATGCACCTCATTCACTTATATCGCGTTGCGACCTAAAGAACAAAGGCAAGAGCATCTTGAACTTCGAGCTGTGTTTGCAACTTAAGCTTGTTGCACCCACATAAGCTGTTGATTGTCCTGTGCATCATGACCATTTCATAATACATACGTTACGCATGTGTTAAAGCCATGGGTAAGTACGACGTCAGTATCACCTTAAATACTATCAGTATAAACTATTTTTCTTCAGCTCCTGACTTAGTGACCAAGACATCGTCATTCACCTTTAATGTGTCCACAGACTTCACTGGCAAAGGTACCTACTTATAAAAAAAAACTGGTGAAACGGGTTAAAACGTGTTCGGATGTTAACGGTCCACATATTTCTTTGTTTCTCATAAATATCTACCTTATTTTTGTGTCCAGACATTGTATAGATTATAAAGATTCTGTTGCTAGACTGAAAACGTGGACCTCAATGTTACTTCGTTAAAGAAGGCCTGTGGTTTTCTACCGAGCTGATATACTGAAATGAATTTCACACTTTTTTCTATCTAGTGGGAAGTATACCTTTCGATGGCCTCCTGGAATTCGAACAGAACTTCTTCACCCTGAAGGTTGATATAATACCAAGAGACGTACATCTTAAAATGACTACATCATCTGATAATGTAACACTTGAAATCACAGTTCCCTTGGTAAAGTCAACAATATATGCTCTGACTATGGCTGCTTCCACTCCGAGGCATACCGTGACGGATACAGACACAGTCAGCATAATGGTAAACACAGCACTAATACCAAATGTACGAAACATTTCGACGTTCGTGGTCCAGGGCACCAGAAGAAACACGTTGGTCGCGGATGTCAGGGCGCAGGGCTTCGAGTTTGAAAATGGACAATATACTTTCTCAATTGAATCTACCGATGGCGCAAAACTGCTTTTCAGTGTGGAGGAACACACTGGCAGAGTCGTATGCCGACAAGATATCATTATACAATCAGAACAGGTAGTTGCACGGGAGTACATATTTAAGGTTATAGCTACATCCGGAAGTTCATCCATGGCCCTCATCCGGGCAAATATATTGGTGCTCAGACCTCAGTTTGAGATAGCTCTTAACGAGAATGAGGAAGCAATTTTCATGCAGTATGAGCTCCAAAGTGATAGTTTTACGATAACCCCACATGGTTTGCCATCTGACATCAGCAATACCAATGGCTTATTTCAACTGATGACATCTAGAGACTATGAAGGAGAATTTAAAAGCAGTACCTTTTCACTTGTTGTCCAGACAAGCCAAACTATAGTCAGGCAAACATATATTTCTGTTACTTTGAACATCAATGATTTGAACGATGAAGCACCTCAGTTTCATCAACTTACCTATGTGTTCGATATCTTTGCTGGGTCATACAATGCCACTGTTATCGGCATAATAAGCAGCACTGACCCTGACACTGTGGGCCAGACGTATTATACCATAGAAGGCATGTACAAAGATTGGTTTAGTGTTGATCCATCGGGTACCATAAAATCGAGGGTGGATCTGAAAAAGGAACAATTTGGAGAAGGGTTCAGTATGAGCATTACAGCGAGCGATGGACAGCAACCCTCGCGCTCTAAAGCTGTTGTCAATGTCAACCTGATCACTATTTATCCGGACTCTGAAAATCTGCATAAAAACTTTACTGTTAAAATTCCGGAAGAGGAACCAGCTGGACATTGGGTAACCAATGTTAATATTGCCAATTACAGCAACTATCGTTTCAACAGTATGCATGCTGAGCAACTATTCAACCTTAATTCAACAACGGTAAGCCATTTACATGTTAATATGAGGTGAGGTAAAATGGGGTTTAACGTCGCGTTTAAGATTATTGCAATTATATAGCCACGTGCATGCATGTGTGTGTGTGTGGCTGCTCGTACTAGTCCGGACTAATGTCGATTTTATAGTGCTAGCCCACTGAGAAATCATGCCACAGTTTAGCATGAATACCCCAGTATATTGACTCCAAGGCGACCAGTCCTTGATTTAGCCCTTTAATACTGAGCGCCAGGCAGGTAATGTTAATGTGTCATAGCTATGTTATTCTTTGCATTAATAATGGAAGCTGTTGTGCCTGCGCTTTTCAGGACATTTATTGTACAAACGGTATAAACCCTTCCACATTCCAATGTTAGGTTAGACGTGAAAAAACAATCTTTGTAGGTAAACCGTCCCTTTACCATTGTGTAGTTGGTAGTCACATTACGCATTAATTGAAGGGAGACTCCCCTCGCCCACATTTGGAGTCCGTGTAAGTCCGTCATTGCTATGCTTGTCTGTTTATTCAACTTGTATCAAGTATATGGAATCAGTTAATGATTACGCTAATTAGGCATTGTCTCATTTATACTCAGTGTGTATCTAATGTCATCTAAATTGCTGCATTTCGATGCCTGTGATCTTTAGTTCGAATCCTAGATTCGACCTGATTATGTTTCTAGGTTTGTGAACTCCATACCCGTGCTCTTTAGTTTGACGAAAGCAGCAACGTCTAGGACAGTCTTAGCATCACTTCAGGCTTTTCTCCCACATCAAGCAATGATCTGTATAACTGCTATACTGTTCAAAACGGCGTTAAATCTAACTCACTCATTCACTTAACCATTTACTCTTGGCACTAATTACAATTCCTAGACATAGACGGGGATTGGGCTGGATACCATATGAGCGTGTAGTCCTTTAATGACAGAGTACTTTTATTCCACTTATAAATTAGAACATGTCTTCATTTGGCACAGGGACAGATAACAACAAAAAGACCTATTGACAGGGAGAGCCTTGATGCTACGTTTACCTTCTTTGATGTCCAGGCTAGAAAGGACAACGAGGATCAGTGTACTCCCGTGGTAAGGACACACATTTGCTTCCATGCCTAGTTAAAGGGAGAGTTATGGCTGTCCCAGGCAAGTTAAGACGCACTTCTGATCATTATATACCTTGAACGGTTAATGATGCCCCTACATACACAGATACAATGTTTCACACATGACACTATTTATTTGCCAGCGTTTATAATTTAAGCTAGTTTTGTTAACTAAACAAGAGCAAATTTGAATCGTTTCTCAATTCCCTGTTTTTGGATTTTTTAAAGGAACACACCAATGGGTTAATTGTAGTTTCAGAAGAGCATCCAGAACTTTCTGTTGTTAAACCTCAATTAAGAATCTTGCAATTCCATTTGTTTATCCGTACCACGTGACGAAACAATACATGTCAATGAGGACCCCCCAAATCATGTGATCCTTGTTTTCGCATATTGACCTCGTTAAGAGTAATCCATCGTTTTGTAATTCCGAAATACACAGGTTTATGAAGTCTTTAAACCGTTCCCTGTTTCATTACAGTAATTTAGCTGTGAATTTGAAATGTTAGTACCAGACGCCATCTTGTTTTCTAGCAGACGAGTCAATATTCATCACATGACAGGTCAATACTGATCATGTGACGAGTCAATATTCGAGGTACGTGTCAGTCACATGATTACGGGGTCTACATTGAAATGTATTGTTTCGTTGCGTGGTACGGATTATCCAATGAAAATGCAAGATTCGTAACAGAGGTATAACAACATGTTTTATTGACCCAGGAATCTGGTACTGACCGAGGCCAGCGGCCGATGTTAATATCAATTTCTTGGGTCACTAAAACATGATACTGCCCGAATTTTGGTCAATAATTGTTTCATATCATGATAATAAAAAAAACCAAGAATAATATAAATTGAATCAGATGTCACAGAATTGATACACAACAAGCCTTGGGTTACGCTCTATGATTGGTCAAAACATATTCTTATTAAGTGTCCCTACCATACACCAAACTCAGTGGATAGTAATATTGATAAAAGCTACAAAAACATTCCAAATCTCAACCAAAAGCAGAATCCATTGTACGATTCCGTGTGTTAATGAATCACTATCAAATAGTGCTGATACCAGGTGTTCGCCAAAAGGTGCGCGTATACTTCACACCTTTGGCACCCGTCACAAACACATGCTAGGCAAGTCAATTATTCACACACAAAAACACGGGAACATAAGGTACACGTCAAAATATAGAATTGCATCGAGTGCGTCTTGTCACTGATGCGTCAAATTTGGAAATGTCCTCCATATTTTTGAAATCTTTACCGAGGCCTTGAATGTTGTAATCCTGATCAAACAACAATTGAACAATAGTCGTATGACGCTTTATTAAGTATGTCCTTTACAATGTCATACTCATGCCTCTCATATTACTGCCAGTGACTTTTAAGTATGCATTTATGCAGCAGACTGCTACTTCTCTCGTTGCAGACACTTGGACGACTAATCTACGAACTGCAAGATATCAACGACAATTATCCTATCTTCAGTCGCACGATATACCACGGTCAAGTTCCAGAAAACTCGCCACTTAACACCGATGTATCCGGTTTGGTAAGGAGATGGCTTGTGAGACACAAAAATAAATTTGATTGGGTTATTTGTTTATTGTAAAAATTAAATACTGCAGCCATAAACGAGTCTGGATCAGACAATTCAGTGGTTAACATTATGAGAATAGATCTATTAACGCAACATGCATCAACATGCATAAACCAAGTCAGCGAGTCTGACCACCCGATCCCGTTGGTCGCCTCTTACGACAATTATAGTCGCCATTTACGGCAAGCATTGGTTGCTGAAGACCTATTCTACCCCGGATCTTCAGGGGTCGTTTAAAAATATGAGTGTTAACTTGCGTGTATGCTTGTATCCGTGTATGCGTAATTTTGATTCATGAATTTGAAAAATTACTTTTCCAAAAAAGCAATTACTCTAGCGTTGAAAATGGACCTTGTGATTAGAACAAATACCTCTTAAATCTTTAAAAAAACGTCATCAATCTTCAAAAGCCTGTATTATCGGGAGTGAGTGAGTATTGTTTTACACCGCTTTTAGCAATATTCAAGCAATATCACGGCGGGGGACACCAGAAATGGGCTACACACATTGTACCCATGTGGGGAATCGAAGCCTGGTCTTCGGCGTGACGAGCGAACGCTTTGGCCACTAGGCTACCCAACCGCCTTGTATTATCGGAAGTTTAACAATATATAATATCGTATCCAAATTGCCTAGATCGATGCTCATGATATCAATCACTGAATTGTCTCGTCCAGATTCGATTATTTACAGACCGTCGTTATATAGCTGGAATATTGCTGAGTGCGGCGTTAAACAACAAACAAACAAACGTAGTGCTAAGATCGCTTTGTGGAATGATCACGTTACTTCCAATATATATTAACTGCTTGTAGATAATGTGAGTTTTGTTTGCTTTGTTTCGCAATTTCAAATATTACAGTACCCATGAACATATGAATAAATATATTGAAGAAACACACGGTTCAATTTTCTTTTCAGATAAACATCCACGCATCTGACGCTGATATCGGTGAAAACGCAATACTTTCTTTTACACTTACGGGCAACGGAAGCGACTATTTCGAAGTTGTTAAGTATTCGGATAATAATGTAAAAGTCAAAGTGAAAACAGCTCTAGATAGAGAATTATTTTCCTCTTATCTACTTAATCTTACTGCAACTGACAATCCAGTCGATCCGAACGCCAGGAACAGTAATTCTACTCTCCTTAACATTACAATTTTGGATGAAAACGACAATGATCCCGTTTGTAATGACTGGCCTTCAACATTCTACGTTCTTGAAAACGTTGGTTTCGAGTTACTTACGAAGCTAACTGCCACAGACATTGACGAAGGACCTAACGCAGAAATTATGTATAGTGTACATGGGGGAGGGTGGTTTTTTTCGGTTGATCGACAAGACGGCAAAGTCTACATAAACCACCCAATTGATCGAGAAACTTACGATGTAATAGAATTAACTTTTGAGGCAAGGGACAAGGGCTCCCCCTCCAGAACCTGTGAAAAGAACGCTACAATATACATTAATGATACCAATGACAACGCACCGATGTTTGAAAATGGCATCACTTATATGGTATTCTACAGAGCCGAGGATCAGGACTGTTCGAAGTTAAGTATTGCGGTTACAGCAACAGACCCCGACAAAGGAATAAATGGAACGGTTGAATATTCGCTCAAGAGCAGCAACTTTTCTATTGACAAAGTTAGTGGATATGTCACATGTAATTCTCCCCTTGACTACGAGCTCGAGAACATCCACGAGTTCGCAGTTGTAGCCAGGGATAAAGGTGTTGAGCCAATGAGCGCTTCTCTGACCGTTAAGATTCAGGTTTTGGATATCAATGATAATGCCCCTGCTTTCTCCAAACAGTTCTACAATACCAGCGTCCTACGCGGCGAATGGGTTGATGGCAAACCGATTCTTGTTCTGAAGGTATCGGATGAGGATTCTGGATCAAACGCGGACATTGCTTTGAGCCTTAACAATTACAGCCATGTCTTTGACATAACGTCTGGCACCACTGGCGTACTGAGAATTAAGGGTAGTGCACCAGCTGCGGGAACAGTGTACAACTTTAACATAACTGCGACCGATAAGGGTCACCCCCCAAATACCAATAAGACTCTCGTACAGGTTCGCGTGGGACAAAAGGAAGGCGATAACCCAATACTGTTTAATACTACAGATTTCCAATTTGATATTGTTGAGGAAACAAATTATACAGGTGCCATTATTGGACAAGTACAAGCTGAAGTAACTGTAGGAGTTGCAAAATACTCATTTGTAGAAGGATATGAAGAGCTGTTTTGGATCAATTCTAGCACTGGAGAAATATTTTGCAACGTCATTTTGGATAGAGAGGAAATCAATCGATACAAGCTGGTGGTACGGGTATTACCACAGTCAGAAGACGATGGTGGCGACGTGGCAATTGTAAGAATTAGCTTTACTCATGTATTAGATGACAATATGTACTGAAGAATTCCCTTTCTTTTGTGAGGAAATTGAGTGGATGTAGCTTCAGTCAGCAAAAGTTCAGCCGTATTATAGATTACCCATGGCCGGGCGAGCCAAGGCCAGTGATAGGTATCATGAGCTACGATCCACTCAATAGGCAATGGATGACACACATACATCACGTCAAAGTAGAATCACACATTATAATCACAGTATCATTGTTAATCTTACAAGTGTGGGAAGTATTATATGAAATGTTGAGGTTTAAAACGGTCTATATCCCCTGAGTAATCAATATCTTAAACTGACTCAGATATGGCTCTTATTCATAAATTTCATTGGAATTCCTTTTTATTCTTTTGAGGTTACTGTAAATGTCCGTGACATCAACGACCACAATCCAGTGTTTGAGGCTCGGTCAGAACAATTGTTGTTCACGCTATCTGAAGACGCCGGCATCGGCAGTGTCATATCCTCCATAGCAGCCAGTGACCCTGACGAAGGCATCAATGGAACGATAACATACAGTATCTTGAACAAGAACGAACAGACCCGTAAGTTATCTCCAAACTTTAATGCGTAAGTACAATCGATGTCATGGACTAAAGCCTTATAGATCTTCTGCAAGCGTCAGTATAAAGGATCTTACTGTTTGAATTATAACAGAGATGAGTATACAATTTGGCTTCAGGTTCTGAACTCTTAGTTCATTGGTAAATACGGACCAAAGAATTATTTCAAAGTTCAGATAAAATACTGTTTTTCTTTTCGAAGTACATCTATGTCTCGCGTACGCTTTACAGTGATAAACTCCTGATTGTCATCAAATTCGAGCATTCCCTGAAGTGAATATTTCATCGTTCATTTTACATTTCAGCATTCGAAATTGATGAACAGTCTGGTCAATTGAAGACGAGTGGCAACTTAGACAGAGAAAGGACACCGAGTTACACTTTAACTATTCAAGTACGTTCCACGGGATGGCATAGACATTACGTCTGTTATCATTCTTCCTTGCATTCATTCGGAATGTCTCATGTATAGATGTACTACGTGAAGAGAGCTATATACTCAGTTATAACTTGTATGTACATTATAGCTAACACACTGTATTGAAGGGGGCTCAGGAGAGTTGTGTGCCTGCACCGTGTCAGTATCCTCTGGTGGTGAGTTTAATTCCAGATACTTGGTTGTCAGAACCATACCAGAGCTCTTGGTGTTTCACCAAAGTGATAGATAGACGTCTGACCTACGTCACGTCAGGCTTTCGCTCCATATAAGCGGAATAGCTAAAATCTGACAGAAGTAATTTTCATAGTCTTCAAATATAAGCGACAAACCTTTTCCATATTCATAAGAAATCGCTTCTAAAAGCAGTCCATTGTACCTTTCCGACTATGTCATAAGCATGTGTAATGAATCACTATCAAATTGTGATACCATGTGTCCGCGAAAAGGTGGGCGTATCCTGCCACCATTATGACACCTGTCACAAACACATGCAAAGGCAGGTCAAAGGTATTTGCATCCGACATAATTTTTGTAACTGACGCGTCCAATTTGAAATTTTCCTCCACATTTCTACCATACAACGTTTTGAAAGTTTTCCCGAGACATTGAATGCCGTTGTTTGAAATCTTTGTAGGAAAAAACATGTTCACAAAATTTGTGAAATGTAAACACCAAAGACTCGATCTGCTGGAATATCGCTTGACGTAAATGGAAAGTTGTTATATAGTCTTGTGGAGATGCAAAGCTCTAAATATAATAAAGATGAGGCGGTTTCAATGGTCTCGTTTATGTCTAGTTCATGTGGGTAAATCAGTGGAATGGAATTGGCAATTTGACCGTTATTGAACAATATCCGATCATCGATATATTTGAAACTCAAGTTAAACTTCTTGACCAAATTCACTTTTTGTATCTGTAAATCCGATCAGAAATTCCCATTCATGTGCATAAACAAACAGATCAGCAAGAAACTCAATTCACTTCCACTCTCTACTGTAACGTAAACTGCCTGGGAGAAGAACGTATACACTTGAAAGTTATAAACGTTATCCAAACGTTACTAGGCCATTAAATGACAATTTCTTGTTTGTTTTATCTACCATCAAACATGGGAATATACATACTTTTGCCAGGCAGTTTAGTTACTCTCATCTCATACTTCAGGCAAAGGACGGCGGAAATCCGTCCCGGTCTGCTGTTACCAATGTCACAATCCTCGTACTGGACGTTAACGACAACGCTCCAATATTCAGCCCAGAATCCTACACCAAAACCATAAAGGAAAACGCTCTTCACGGTACTTTGGTAAGGCACCCTATAGTATTAGTATTAGTTTATTGGGAAAGTGGTGTAGCCCAGAGGCCCGGCTTCGATTCAACACATGGGTACAATGTGTGTAGCACATTTCTGATGCCAATTGCTATAATATTGCTCAAGTATTGAAACCTAATTCCTCATTGACACGTTAATGGTCAACGTCCATGTACAGCTTTTACCCACAGTAACACAGGGTAATTGTTTTTATGTGTCTTGGAATTTGAACTTAAAGGGGCATATTTCAGCATAAAATGTTTTCTAACACGAGAAATGGAAATTTGGAGCTGTAGATGAAGTAGTGACATTTATGCAGGTATTCTGGCGGCGCTCAAACATCACTCCTTTCAAAGGGCGATAATTTGTCATAAGCTGAATCTGAAACATAACTTTTGAACAATGAATCAAACTTTCACAATTATTCAATATAATTTGCCACATCCGCTAAAGAAAACGAAATTTCGGAACTATATTTTCTTCTGAATTTTTTTTCTACATTCTTTGATTTTCATTGTTTAAGTCAACTATTTCCAATAAGATGCAATGTTAATTACCTTTAAATCTCAGTTGTTAGAAACAAGTCTTAATGGCATTATCCTTCAAAATGAATAATTTGGCTATCCCATGGTATTTGAACATTTCGTGAAGTATTGTTTTGACGGGAATCATCATGATGTTGCAGCTTAACGTAACTGTGTTCGCAACTGATCTCGATGACTCCGACAACGGCACAGTTACATACGTCAGAGAAACTACAAATGTCAGTGACCCAACGAACAGCTGTCCTTTCAGTCTAACAGATAGTAGGTGTCATAATACTACTTATAATATTCATGTCAGACAATACATCCCACCACCCTCGCTCTTTCCTCAATCGCTTACATTCACCAGTTATAGTGGGAGGACGTGGTTTGATTAACGTGGAGGCTCACCATGATAGAATTCTATTGTGCATTTTTGCACACATTTATTTGTCTAATGAACTCTTGTGAAGCATGTCAAGGTTCGTGATGAAAACCAGGCATTTAACAGTTTTCATCTCAATGTGAATGTTGATTTTGTTGATGGTTCTGTGAAGTACAGAAATGAGTGTCAACCAAGCGAAATGCCTGTGTTGCATGTGAAGGGGGCAAGGGCCCTGAGCTGTCGATGAGCCTAACCAGCCTGACAGTGCAGGGGAACCCCAACCCTCTTTGCTGCATTTCTTTATTTTAATCTGTAACATATAATAACAATCATGCCTATGGTGATTTGTAGCAATACATCCACACCACCCAGGCTTATAGCTGGGGCTATTATTACCCCTGGAAACGGATCAGTTTACATTCAGTTACCATTTACAGTTTAGAGAGCGTTACGGCCCACGTTGACAGGACGCTATCTGAAAAGATAGATGCCAAATTGTTACTGAACATATTTATTAATAGCGTTTGTGATGTTGTATGCTTTACAGTACTAACTCTTTGACAAAATGTATTGTATGATATTTCTGTGTAAACGAACATGTTTGTTTCAAAGAATTTAACCAAACAACGATGGAAGTAGTGGGTGTGATGTCTGTTGGCGGCTCCATTGACTACGAGACGACGCATGTGTATGAGTGTTACGTCACCGCGGTGGACATGAGTCGCTGCTCTGGTGATAAGTGCAAGGGTCGCTTGACGGGAACTGCAACCGTTAGAATCAACGTCCAAGATGTAAACGACAACGCACCCGTTTTCCAAGCAGCGCCCTACAACGCCAACGTCACACGGGACAGCCCAGTCCCAACTCTTATTACTGACGTCATCAAAGCTACAGATGCAGATTCAGAGGACGGCAATGGCATCATCACCTACAACATCACAGATGGTATTGGTGAGTAGAGACTATCAACAAAGGAGATCATCGGGATAGAGTACACAATTTATTGTGTAATAATTACATAGCATGTGTTATATTTTCTAATTAATCGTCAAAGAAGTCAACGATGGAGCATGAAGACAAATATAAAATTAAAGTTGGTGATTCGAATGATTGATAATGAAATGGTTGGTTGGTTGGTTGTTTAACGCCGCACTCAGCTGCACAAGACACCTTAACAGTGGTATATGCAGGTGCGGTCGGGTAGCCTAGTGGTTAAAGCGTTCGCTCGTCACGCCGAAGACCCGGATTCGATTCCCGACATGGGTACAATGTGTGAAGCCCATTTCTGGTGTCCCCCGCCGTAATATTGCAGGAATATTGCTAAAAGCGGCGTAAAACCAAACTCACTCACTCCCTGGTATATGCAAATATTTATCTCGGTTGACCTATCTCAGATGACTTTGGGCGATCACATGTACACCAACAATGGCAATTTATTTCAGTCACCTCTTCGCTTATAACAATTTCTTGCAGGGTCCAATTTCTTCAGGATAGATGACATAAGCGGTAATATCTCTATCTGGTCTAAATTGTCTGGACTTGACCACGACAAAGTCACTCTTACAATTGAAGCTCGGGACAATCCTAGTCATGACAAACAACTCCAGACAACAACAACGGTACTACAGTTTGAGAAGTATCTGTTCAGTGTGTCCTACCTATTACAGATATATATAAAGCGACAAAACCCTTTCCATATCAAATAGAAATGCATAAAGCAGAGTCGATTGTACGATTCCAACTATATCATGCGCATTTGTTTTTGAATCACTATCAAATAGTGATGATACCAGGTGTTCGCTAAAATGATCTCACTAGTCTCCTTAATTTCTAGTTCCGGTGGGTAATCAGTGGAAGGGAATTGGCGATTTAATTGTCATTGAGCGATATCACATCATCAATATACCTGGAGCAAAGATAAACCTTTTTGGCCAAATTACAGATCTACATATTTGACAGAATGGAGCTTAGTTTTTAGAAATAATGAAATATACCGTAATAAAATCTTAGACTTAGGGATAATGCATAATTATTTTCCATAGATAACAATAGAAATACTAGACGACAATCCTAGACCGTGGTTTCCGAAGACCCAGACCATGCAGATCCTGGAAGAGGAGGACCCTGACGGAACCAGCCTCAACATGACGGCTTTAGATCGAAAAGACGGGATGGTTACTATTTGCAACTGCACATACGAGCTTAAGACATCAGGTACCATTTCTAAATCTCTTACAGAGCCTGTAATTGCTTTTTCTGAGACAAGGTAAGTGAGTCGAAGTTATCCCTGCAGTTATCAGTGTACCAGGTATATCACAGCAATTTGTTAACAACCGTTTCTTGGTTATTCAACCATTGGTTGACAGAACTATCAACGATCCACGCCGAGTACGAGAGGAAACAATCAGGTGGCACATTGGTTAAATCCGACCCTCATACGCTGGCTCTTAAGACACGCATGGGTTACCATGGACCTATCTAGTCCATGGAATCCCCACGATTTCGACCGAATTAAACCCTTCATCGTGGTGTTATATTTTCTCTTCATAACCTGTACTTTTCAGAATTCTCCAGCATGTTTACTATCAACAAGAGAACAGGAGATTTTAGGCAGACCCAAAAAATAAACAGAGAATCTACCGGAAACACATTGAAAATAGAGATCGAAGCTTCTGATGATGGTGATCCAGCCAAGAGCGAGACTGTATTCGTTACCATCAACGTAACTGACATCAACGATAACAGGCCATATTTTAACACATCATTACAAAATCAGACGTTTTCTACTGTCCAGGTAATTTCCACAAAACAAACTAGTACTTGTTTTTTTCACTACTGCTAACAACCTTTTGAGAATATTTCTGAACAAACTCCTACTATTCATTCTTAGTTTCACACAAGTCATTGTTCAGTGTGTCTAAATTGTATTCTGTCACTAATGTCACAAAAAAACTCTGGACAAGGACAGGTTAGAACGTCCACCGAAACGTTGCATCAGTTGTAATAAAGTTATCCAAAAGGACATGTCTTTGTTCAATACACCAACGTCTACATGTCATCCAGTTAGATAAAACAAAAGAAACTGTTTTCAGACTGCTCCAGTGGGTAGCGTGATTGGCCACGTCGTGAGTATTGATGACGACGAAGATCACTACTCCAACAGCTCCTATAACGTCGTCCAAATTGATGAAAGGTTATTGATTCATGTAAATGGTACCATTGTCATCAACAAACCCCTCATCGATCTCGAGAAAGAGTTTTATAAGATCGAGGTAGGTACACATGCTTATATGACAGGGGTTGGTCAAGCCCAATATTTATTTAAATTATCTTAGTCATGAGGAATAATTACCCCTGCCATGGATGAATGGTATTGGAAAACGGCATTGTCCATCCATCAACCAGTCAATCCATATTTCCGTCACATCAACCACCATAGTCATAGAGGTAAAAATGCGTATTTACCTCGTATGTTTTTGCATCAAAACAAATCACGTTGTTTGACTCATGTTATCTACAAATATAGATCTACCATCTACAGGCCATGACATGACATCTTGATGCCCATGTTTGTGTGAAACCAACCGAGCACAGCCTCATCCCCAGGTTCTCGGAATAATATGACAGAAACAAATAGTTAAGAGTGTCAAATTGTACGCGAGTGAGTGAGAGAGTTGGGTTTAACGCCGCTTTTAACAGTATTTCACTTATATCACGGCGTGTGAGGATATTGTGGTTAGAAAGCCCGAAGTGATGCAGGTCTCAGACGTTTACCACTTCGGTGAAACCCATGAGCACGGGTATGGTACTGACAAACCTAGAAACATAATCGGGGCGAACCGGGATTCGAAACCATTATCATGGGTTTCTGGCGTGCCCAAGGGACGCAACTCTGCACAGCGAATCGCGGCGCCTTAGACGACTGGGCCACCCGTGCCCCCCAAATTGTACGTGAAAATGATAGGGCAAGAGTATTGTTTTCTTTACTTTCCCTCGTTGTATCATCAACATTTATTGGTATTCGTCTTCGAAAAATAGGGATTGAAACATCCATGTTAAAAACACCATTGCCTGATCAATACATAATATATAATGTTAAACTTAAACCCTTTAATTGTGCAGTTTGGAGTTAGCGTGAAGGACAGCCTTCCTCTGCATTGGTCATCAGTTACAGAAAAAGAGAACACATCTGCCAATGCACTGGTATCGATATCAGTTCACTACAGTGAGCCGAATGAATTCCCTCCTAAATTTACCAAAGGTATTCTTCTTTATAATTAACCATTGGCAACCATTTGTCATACATATTTAAATAGTATTCGTTTTGAACATTATAATGATGTAATGTACCATCAAAAGAAATGTGTTCAGTGATGTTTGTGTAACGTTCCAATGCATATTAATATGATATGATAACTTATTGATATGAATTATATATTCATGAATATAATCTTTTGCCAGCTCAATACAGTACACAATTGGACTTTACAAGTCGTAAAGGCACCGAAATAAAACCACCCGACTTCAAAGCTATTGATAAAGATGGGGACAACATAACCTATGTAATAATACACGGAAACGTAAGGGTAAGTTGTTTATGCAAATTGTGAGTGACAGGTGCTACCTGTAGATTTGCAGTGATCTATTCAAATAATGAATCTTCACCTCCATTTTGCCCTTTACAGCCAACAGAATCTGTTTTCCTCGGATAATCGAGCTTGGTTATTCTCTTGCGTTGACGTTATATGTAAACATAGATGTACATGCAAACAAAATCGACCAAACACAACTCCATATCCATAAGAAGTATCTATTGTACAATTCTGGCAATTAATGCATGCAATTATGAACCATTTTCAAATAGTGAAGATTCCCGGTGTTCGCGAAAAGATGAGCCTATTCTGCCCCACCGGTGGCAAAACTAGAGTAAAAACGGAAAGCAATGTATCAAATACTTACTTACTTACTTACTTTGGAGATTTAACGTGCGCTTTCCGACTGATGCGTATTTCGCACACGGGCCCGGCCAGGCCATTTAATGTGTTTCCGAAAGGGGCGAAGGTGGTCTGTGCAACCCAAGAGGGGGGTTTTAGGGGTTGCTTATATAGAATTTGGGAATTTTGAGATTTGGAATAGATGCCGATGGGATTGGGGAGGAGAACTAAGGGAGCTGGGTATGGTGGATGTTTGTTTGTTTATGTGATTTTGATTTGGTGAGTTATTGTGTTTTTAGATGCGTTTTATTAGTTCCGTTTTGATTAAGAATACGCCTAAGGCCTTGAAGTTTTCTAGTTTATTTTGTGGGTTTAGTATTGCTTCTAGAGTTAGAGCCTTGTTTAGATTGAGGGTGGTTTGTAATGCGGTTCGATGTGTTAGGTAGTGTGTGCAGTGGATGAGTGCGTGTTCTGGGGTTTCTGGTTGTTTGCAGTGCGGGCATTTACCTGTAGTGTGTTTTTTAAATTTTTTTAGGTGGTTATTTAGGTTGGTGTGTCCTGTTTGGAGTTTAGTGATTACTCTGTCGATTTTTTTGGATGGATGGAGAATTTTTGGTTTGGTAAGTGGTTTGCTGAGCACTTTTTTGATTTGGCTATTTGAGTTTAGATATAGGTTATGCCATTTTTTGGTGATTTTTTGCTTGTTTACACTTTTAATTTCTGATTTTGAGATGGGTAAGTTTAAGCTTATTTCTGGGATTTTGAGGGATAGTTTAGCTGCTTTATCTGCGTTTTCATTACCGTATATTCCTACGTGGGCGGGTATCCACAAGAAGGTTATTTGTTTGCCTGCCTTAGTTAGGTCGTTGGAGCTTTTAAGTATTTGATTTATTAATTTAGGTCGGTTTTTGGTATTTTTGTTTTGGAGGGCTTGCAGTCCACTTAGGGAGTCGGTAAGTATTAGGATTTTTTTGTGGTTTTTGGATTCTTGATTATGGAGGGCTGAGGCCATGCCCATTAGTTCTGCCGTGAATATTGATTGGTTGTTTGGGAGTCGGAAGGATTGTGTGGTTTTAGTTGGTTGTGTGGTATGGACTCCGAAACCTGTGTGTTTGGAGGTCGGATCTGAGGATCCGTCCGTGTAAATGTGACACCAATTTGGCCAATTTTCGTGTATGTATGCTAGTGTGGTAGTTTTAGCTATGTTTGGGTCGGTTTGTTTATTTATTTGGCTAGCTAGTGTTGTGTCTATTTTGGGTATTTTAAGTTTAGGGGTGAAGATATTTGATTGTTTGCAGTTTTGTTTAAGATTTTTAATTTGGTGTTCATTTAGGTAGTTTGTTATTCTTTGGGATATTGGGGTAAGTAAGGGGTGTTTACGAGCTAGAGCTTGGTTTTTGGGGCTGATGTTTTGGTTTATTAAGTTTTGGATGAGAGGGTTTGATTGGGACGCGGCCCAGAAATTTAAGCTTAGCTGTTCCCTGCGTAGACTTAGTGGCATTTCTCCTGTTAAGGCCTGAAGTGAGGTGTAGGAGGTGCCATGTTGGGTGCGTGTAATTAGTTTGAGAGCCTGATATTGTATTGAGTCAAGTTTTTTTAGATAGAGAGTTGTTTAGGGTGTTGTATATGGCGCAGCCGTAGTCTAGTTTTGATCTAATTAGTGATATGTAGAGAGAGAGGAGGGTATCTTTGGATGCTCCCCAGTTAGAACCAGTTAGGCATCTTAGGGTGTTTAGGTCTTTACTGCATTTAGTTGTTAGGTTTTGGATGTGAGCATCCCAGGTGAGATGTTCATCGAAAATAAGTCCTAAGAATTTGGTTTGTTTTTGAAATTTGATTGTTTGATTGTTTAGCTGGAGGATTGGGGAGGCGGGTTTCATGTTTTTATGTTTGAATACTATTCCTGTTGTTTTTTCTGAGTTAAGGGAGAAGCCCCATTTGTCAGCCCACTGTTGTATTTTATTAAGAGATTTTTGGAGTAAATTTTGGACCATGTTCATGCTTTTAGTGCGGATCCAGATGGCTCCATCATCCGCGAATTTTGATGTGTTTACTTTAGGGGATAGGCCCTCGAATAGATCGTTTATCATTATATTGAAGAGGGTGGGGCTGAGGATACTGCCCTGTGGAGTACCATTTTCTAGGGGACATTGGTCCGATAGAGTTTGGTCTATACCCACGGTTATTTTACGATTGTTTAGGAAGTCCTGGATGTAGTTTATTATCTGACCTTTGAGACCTATTTTTTTAAGTTTTTGTATTAGCCCATCGTGCCATACCATGTCGAAAGCTTTAGAGAAGTCTAAGAAGATGCCTGTGGTATATTGTTTATTTAGCTGTCCTGTCTTAATATCTTGTTCTAGTCGGGTGAGGTTATCTAGGGTTGAGCGGCCAGGAGTGAAACCGCTTTGATCTGGGTTTATGATGTTATTTTGGGTTAAGTAATGTTGTAATCTATTTTTAGCCATTGATTCCATTACTTTACATAAGTTTGAAGTTAGGGATATTGGTCTATATGAGTTAGCTTGATTAGCTGGTTTATTAGGTTTAGGGATTGGTATGACTAGGGCCTGTTTCCACGGAGTAGGAACCTGTCCGTTTAGGTAGATGAGATTGTATAGTTTGAGTAGTGCCTGGAGTAGTTTTAGGGGGAGTTTTTTAATTATTTGGTAAGAAGTTAGGTCTAATCCTGGGGCTGTGCCCTTTTTCCTGTTTTGGATTACGTAGAGGAGCTCCTCCATTGTGTAGGGTTGATTTATTTCTAGATTGTTATTGTTTGGTTCTTTTGTAGGTTTGTTTTCTGTTTTAAGTTTATCTTGGAATTTTTTACTGAAGTTGGTGTTACTGCTAACGGCCGAAAAGTGGTTGGCGAGATTATTTGCTTTTTGGGCGGGGTTGGTTGAGTTGTCAATGTTAGGGGTTTTTTTATGTCGTTTTAAGCCTCTGATGGCGTGGATTTTGCGCCAGACCGTTCTGGCATCTGTACGGTTATTTATACCTTCGCAGAATTTTTTCCAGTCTCTACTTTTGGCTATTTGGACTAGTTTTTGAACCTGGTGGTTTAGTTCGTGGGCTATGTTTAAATATTTGTAGTCGCGTTTTGCTTTATTGAAGGCTGATTTACGTTTTCGTCTAGTCTGTTCTATTTCCTCATTCCACCATGGTACCGTCGGTTTGCCTGTCTTAGATGTTTTGAAGGGGATGGAGGTTTTGGCTGCGTTTATTATATAGTCTGTTAGGTTTTTACAATAGGTTTCTGGATCATTATTTTCTATTTCGTTTAGGTTAGCTTCGTTGCAGATATCTTGGAATTGGTCCCAGTTAGCTTTATTGTAATGGAATTTTGGTTCTTGGTTTTCTGTTTGGATTGGTACGTTTGTATTTCCTATGGTTATGTTTATGGGGAAGTGGTCACTACCTAGCGGGACGTCGTGCACTTCCCATTGAGTACTTTGGGCTAGATCTGCGGTGCATATGGTTAGGTCGATAGCCGACATTTTTTGGTTTATCTTATCGTACCTCGTGGGTTGGTTGCTATTAAGGAGTACTAGGTCGTTTGTTTCTATCCATTCGGAGATTAATTTGCCATGATTATCTATTTTATCATCTATGCTCCATGTAGGATGGTGAGCGTTAAAGTCTCCTAGGAATATAGTAGATTTATCGCTTATTTGGAGTAGTTTGTTTAGATCCTCAGGTTGGACTTTTTGTTCCGCCCAGTGGTAAATATTTATGATGTTTATGTTTCGGTTATTTAATGTGATTTTAATGCCGTTGGCTTCTAGGTTTGGCGTGTCTATTTTTATTTCTTCGTAATTTATATCTTCCCTGATAAATATGATTAGTCCTCCTGCGGCTCTTCTTGTTTTCGGTTTAGCTCTGTCAGTTCTAACTGAGTTGTAGTTAGGTAGTGTGAATTTGGATTTTTTTGAGAATTTGGTTTCCTGTATACAAGCAATGTGAGGGCCTTTATTTAGTTTAAATTTAGTTTTTAGTTCATGGCCGTGGGAGGTGAGTCCGTTGGCGTTCCACTGAAAAATATTTAGTCCTTCGAATATTGGGTTCGGGTGATTGGTGATTTATTTTTTATTTTTTATTTTATTCGGTGAGTTCTTTTAGATGGAGGTTAAAGAGGAAGAAGGGAAGATCGGTTAATTTTAGATTGAAAGCTACTTTGTAGAAGGATTTCATGCTAGCTTTTGGTGAGTTTTGACTATGCATGTATGCTAGGAGTAAGGTGAGGTTGTTTAGGTTTTGGGTGTTGGCTGGTTGGGGAGTTTGGTTTGTTTTAGTTGGAGTAGTGTCTATTGTTTCCTCAGTAGTGGAGAAATCTTCGTCATCGGTTAGATTAGGTTTAGCTGATTGAGTTTCCATGGGGGAGGCATGTGATGTGGAGGATTGTGAAGGTGTTTGTGGGATGGGTGTAGCTGATGATTTCATAGTGTTTGTGTTTTGTTGTTGTGCTTGCTTGTGGGAGAGCGTTGTTACCATATTGGCTGTAGGGTGCTTGGATGAGGGTCGTGTTGTGGTGGTCATTTTGAGGTTTGTTTTGCATGCGGGGGTTGATGTTTTGGTTATGTGAGATGTGGGAGGGTTCGTGGTTGGTTGAGTGGCTGCTTGTATGTGTGAGGTGGGTGCGGTTTCTCGGTAGGGGCCCCAGACAGAGCTGTCGGTTATGGGTGTGGTGTTTGTTTGTGGGATGGTGTTTGGGTGTGGTGTAGGGAGGAGTGGTTTAGATGCAGGTGTAGCAAATTTTCGTGTTTGGATTTTAGCCGTGTCTATGTTTATGTGTTTGTTGGCCTGCTGGGTGAGTGTGTGTCTGTATGGGCATTGGTTTGAGAGTGAAGTGTGTTGGGTGGATTTGCAGTGGATGCACCAGGGTGTGCATGTGCCTGGGCAGTCTGTTTGTGCGCATTTTTTACATTTAGTTTTACGGTATGTGCATTGGGAGGCAGTGTGGTTGTATTTGAGGCACTTTGTACATTGCTTAACCTGCTTTATATAGGGTTTGACTTCTAAGTTGGTGTGGGCTCCGAAGGATATGTGTTTGGGGGCTTCAGGGAATTTAGCGGTCTTTTTGAAGTTGATTATGACAATGGAGGTTGGGACCGTTTTTCCGTTTCTAGTTGAGGTTATTCTACGCGTGCTGGTGATTAGGGGTTGAGGGTTTTGGTCTTGGTTTATGTTAGCTTCTAGAGAGTATAATTGTAAGTCCTCAGTTGTTTCCCTTGGGTTAACCCTAATTACGCCTCGTGTATATTGTTGCCAATTAGGTGTTTGTTTGATTACTGTGACGTGGAATATTTGAGTTATTTTATTTGCTGCGTTGTAAGATTCTCGGTTAGGGAAGATTATCTGGTATCCTTTGTTGGCTTTTTTAATATTGTTGTAATTTATTTTTTCTCTTTTAAACCAAAGTCCTATTTTATCTGCCGAAAGTTCTAGTGAGAGAGTGGTGCCTGAGCCTGCTGAGAAGAAGTAGAGGGCGAAGGTCGTGAGGAAGGCGGCCGGGGAGGGTGTGGGCGATGGAGGTGGAGTGGATGTGGAGTATCAAATAGTATAATCATTACTATATCTATTTCAATACGGTTTCAGGATATCCTCGTGATGTCCGCGGATTCCGGATTGATGACACTCCACTATGATCTGGACAGCACTATCGATGCCCTCATTAATTTGACTATTACAGCAACAGACGATGCCCTTTATCCGAAAACAGGGTAGTTATTTTTGCCCATTGTCCACTCTTTCACCTAGTCAGTGCTAATTAGCCCCGGCCTCCCTTTTGCCAATTGTCCATTGCCTATTATTTATCTATGATAACTTAAGTACTGGCTTCCATACTATCAACGCTATAACTGTAAAGTGTTGGCTTCCATTGTCGATTGATAATCACCTATCAGCGCCAATCATCTGCTGGCTTCCCTTGTTAGTTTTCTACCTTTTGTTATCTTATTAATATTGTTGTCCTTACATGTACATACATATGCTCTCTGCCTCATGGCATTCATTCACCTGATGAAGGTGTAAGCATATACTCCGAAACGTTTGTTTTCTTCATAATAAAGAAGTTGACATTCATGGATTCTCTTCCTTAGGGTAAATTATAAATGGTGGTGGCACGGACAATACAGTTTGAATGCGTGTGAGTGCTATTAAAGTAGTGGCATAATGTGTATATGTTTGAATGATATTGAGACTAAAATATCCAACTACCTAACTGTCAATTGAATATAATTAGGAACTGATAATGGTGAAATATACATTAATCAATCAACTGAAGGGAGAGTTCAGAAAAGTCTGCTAATTCCAGTGGTGGTGTAAAGTGCTAATGGGACAATGATTAAAGCGTCCGATTGTCGCGGAAAAGACACTGGAGTGCTTCCTACAAGTGTACGGTGTGAGAAGCCAAATACAAGCCGACGTATGGTTAGAATCATGTCATAAAACGGTTTCAAACCATACGCACCTACCCGAACTATTTAAAGTTCTGTGCAGTTGACGTCTTTCATCACATTAAGTACCAAGGATACGGGTGATCCAGTCGCCTCAAGCACCACAATATGCTATGCAGACTTCTGTTCCCTGGCGTGTCAGATATGATGATCGTGGGTTCGAATCCAGTATACGCTCTGATTTTGTTTTATTATTTGTCAGCTGGTGGGTTTCAAGTGGGAAAGACCTGCACCACTTTGAGCTTTCCTCCCATATCCAGACATATAATATGTGAGTGAGTGAGTTGGGTTTAACGCCGCTTTGGACATTATCCCTGTTATATCACGGCGTGTCAGCATATTGTAGGAGGTGATGCAGGTCTCAGACGTGATGTGTTCCAGAGCTTCCTGAAACCAACGAGAACGGTATGATACAGACAAACCTCATAATCGGGGCGCACCGGGATTCGAAACCACAATCATAGATTTCTGGCGTGCCCAAGTTACGCAACTCTGCCAGCGAATTGCGTCGCCTTAGACGACAGGGACATGATATGACGTGATATATATGTGGCTGAAATCAGTATATCATGAGGTGAGGTCGCGTTCAAGATTATTGCACGTATGTGTGTGTTGTGTGTGTGTGTGTGTGTGTGACTGCACCTACTCGGACAGTTTACGGACTCCAAGCCGACCAGGCTCGTTTCACCTCCTTAATGACAGGGTAACAGCACGTACCATTTTAATTTTGGTGTGAGGCGGTCGGGGATCGAACCCCCGACATTCCGCTCTCCGGGGGGACGCTCTACCACGATACCACGGAGTCGGACCAATGTGTCATGAACTATTACCATTGCTATAATAACTATTTCACGCATTAACTGTTTGTTTCAGTACATGTCAAGTGTTGATAACACTGAAAGACATGGAAGACACCCAGTGTATCCCACAGAGGGAATACAGTCGGTTGGGGGAGGACAGTGAGCAGAAAGCAACGTTCATGACTCTGTTTGGCGTCATCACTGCACTGCTGGTCCTTGCTGTAATTGCAGTCCTGGTCAGCTGTTACAAGTACGTCATCCTGTATATTCAACTTCGGTATATCTTCCTATAGCCCTTATTAGTGGCGAATGAGTACATGAGATGATATTTAATGTTGCATCGGCATTATGTCCGCAAGGCATTCTTCCCTTAATTCTATTCCTCTTCAAGCATCTCTATTTCTACAGAAGACATTTCTTTTCGACAAAAGTCCAGAACGGTCCATCCTTATACTCTAAGGTATCGATTGAATCTAGGTCATCAGTATCAGTTTCTTCTTTGCAAACAATTTTGATAGAATTTATCGAGATGTGCTTTGTGCTTGGCGTCCACCAGCACTTTGAGAATGTCGTCGTTCTTCAGCGATCTGTATGTTATCGTGATTGTTATTCACGACAGGCACAAGCGATGTTTAGGGCACTCAAAAGCGTTTCGGGAACATCTGGTGTCATTGTCATATTACTGTTGAAATTAGATGTTTCCAGTTTGTCATTTTATTTTGTCTGAGTGTGAGGCAGGCTAATACACTGTTGTTTTATTACGCCGTTGTTTTGTTACACGCACTGACGTTTCATGCTGACTTGGTTCAAAGCAATTACCCCGAGTCACTGACGTGTTCTTGCATGCACTACTGTGCCAACATTACGCACTGACATCTACTACACGCTCACGTGATACATGTTTAATTACATGCATTAAAACGTTTTAGGACACATGCACAGGAATGTATTAACGCACAATATCCGTTCTCACTAGGTGGCGTGTTTCAAGAAAGGAAGTGGAACTGCACAGGAAAAAAGGCAAGAACTACAGTTTAGGCGACAAAGATAGACAAACAAAACGTGGAGAAGAATACGATGGATTGCGAGAATATGTCCAAGAACCAGAACACGCTTACCAACGCCATGAAACGAGAGACTTTGTAAGTTCGAAACTGTATCACAAGCACTTTATTTCATCCTTCCCGTTTGCATTTTCAATCGTTTGTTGGACTCAGGTTGATTTAGTTCAATTTGTTTAAAATGGACTTATTTTCTGTCTAATACGTACGTACCAGTATACCTAATATGTTCTAGCAAATGTAATGCTCGTGGTAACACACACGTTATCGATACAGGAGGTCGACGATACATGTTTACCAATTAATCAAAACTGTTCCAAGCGTGACCATTCGTGAAATACTGTTAGTAAGAAACAGTGTTATGTCAAACTCCCCACTCAAAAGTAAGAACATCGTTATTGATATCAAAATAAACACTTCAGCCATAACACAAATACGATACTCGTATAAAATTCATCACTATCGAATAACGATTTCATATCAGCCACCATTAAAAATGGATATATACTTTCTATTGTACGGCTGTTTAGGTAATCAGAATGACTCGTTTTATCACCACTTCTAAGTAGTGTGCGAAAAAGACGCTTGCCCGCTAGCCCGTGGCTGGCAAATATCAGTCGAGCTAAATAATATGAAATGCCCCAGGCCGACTGACTACTGAAATACAAACTGTGAATTTTGTAACACACCTCTTAGTTGATCAAAGTCGAAACGGTCCTCCCGCTTCTAAAAAATCAATACGACCATCATACATCAAATTAATACCCGTAACGAATCGAGGTTGCTAGATCAGACTTACCCCTTTATAACATTTGACTCATGTAAGGATAAGAATTTATGGATGAACAACTTCTTTATTACAATTGAGAGCGACGTTTCGGTGTAGGTTCTAACACCGTTATCAAGCAAGCGTTTTACAGAGTGTGGTTGGCAAGTATATATACAAGTAGGAGGCAATGTTTATACAGTAGAGTAGAATTGTTATACAATTTGAAGTTGTTCATCCATAAATTCTTATCCTTACTTAGTACTCCAACTTCTAAATGCCTATCCAAGAAGTTATTTGACTAATGAATTGCAATTTTGGTTTACTTTAATGATACCTTTGCAGATTCAAATTTCTGGAAAAATATATTGTCGCATAATTAAGCTTGTGAAATTTGATACTCGCTAGTAACTTTAAGGCTAGCTTGCCCACATGGGCAGGAATATATTGATACTATTTCACACCCTGCTTCTAATAAAACATATAATAACATCTCGCACTCAAAAAAGCATTGACACCAGCGTGTTTGATGTGTCTCCAATCACTTGACTTGTGACTTCCACTGTAAATAAATATCCTTACCCCCCCCCCCCCCCCCCCCCACCTCCCCACACACACACACACATCCACCTACTTACTTTCCGTGAGACCAAATTTATTCAATGACATAGATCGTTGGCTCGACTATTGTGCGAGGCAACACGTAGTTATGCTTCACGTGTCATTAAGTAAGCCTTGAATATATGTCAGCTTCCATATGTCGACGACTACTTGTTTCAGTCTCATGTAGCATATTACATCGAGTAAATCGTTGTCCAGTCTCATATCGAACATTAACACTATTTTATCATTATTAACGTAACCTACACTACAATTGTAACAACATGGATATCGACTTTGAAACGTAGTATGACACAATATGTGACTACATTACATTACTAATATCTCATAACATGATGTTAGGTTTACGGAAATTCACGTTGTAGTTGTCTTCGCGGCGGATAACTCGAACATGTTTCCAGGTCCCCGACGCAACGAGGTTCGACTGTATATAATATTACTACAACTCAACCGCTTTTTGAGTATCAAAAAGCATAAAATCGAAAGCTTAATCGTTGTTCAGTTTCATATAGACTCTGTTATTGTTTCATCCAAGTATGGCATATGAAACACTGTTGATGACTTTGTCAGTATTTCTAATACACTGTACACTATATTGTACTAGGCGCATGAATGTATTACACAAGCTATTGTTGTACCAGTCTACTACAACATAGTATGATAGCCACATTGTTATTTTAGTATTCTACACCTTACATGATGACCATATTGTTGCTTCAGTTTTCAACAATATAATTATAACCGTATTATTGTTTCAGTATTCTACATATTATATGATAACCGTGATGTTGTTTCAGTATTCTACATCTTATATGATGACCGTGATGTTGTTTCAGTATGCTACATCTTATATGATAACCGTGATGTTGTTTCAGTATGCTACATATTATATGATAACCGTGATGTTGTTTCAGTATTCTACATCTTATATGATAACCGTGATGTTGTTTCAGTATGCTACATCTTATATGATAACTGTGATGTTGTTTCAGTATGCTACATCTTATATGATAACCGTGATGTTGTTTCAGTATGCTACATCTTATATGATAACCGTGATGTTGTTTCAGTATGCTACATCTTATATGATAACTGTGATGTTGTTTCAGTATGCTACATCTTATATGATAACCGTGATGTTGTTTCAGTATGCTACATCTTATATGATAACCGTGATGTTGTTTCAGTATGCTACATCTTATATGATAACCGTGATGTTGTTTCAGTATGCTACATCTTATATGATAACCGTGATGTTGTTTCAGTATGCTACATCTTATATGATAACCGTGATGTTGTTTCAGTATGCTACATCTTATATGATAACTGTGATGTTGTTTCAGTATGCTACATCTTATATGATAACCGTGATGTTGTTTCAGTATGCTACATCTTATATGATAACTGTGATGTTGTTTCAGTATGCTACATCTTATATGATAACCGTGATGTTGTTTCAGTATGCTACATCTTATATGATAACCGTGATGTTGTTTCAGTATGCTACATCTTATATGATAACCGTATTGCTGTTTCAGTATTCTACTTTCTATATGATAACCGTGTTGTTGTTTCAGTCTTCGCCAGATGGCGTGGTAAATCCTGCATACGCACGAGCTCCAACTGGAAGGAACTTACGCGAACGGTATGTTTTGGTTATTTAGTTTGCGATGAGTTGTGGCTTATTCTCATTACACTAAACCCAACACTTGTAGTGACGGAGGCAGTCATGTTTGTCGCCGTCGTGAGAAGAGCGACAATACGTCAGGTATCCCAGCTGATATCGAACACCTTTATGTGAGTGACGGGATTCATGCCAAGTATTTCACGTATACCACCGGGTGTCTGAGTAACGTAGGAGTAATGGTCATTGTGACGTATGACGTTTAATATTTTGGTGAAACACACTTATACTTACAACTACTTATACATGTCGAAATCAGGGCGAATCTGTGATTCGAATCCGCAATCAGCGTATCCAAACACGGCTAGGGCGTCGCTGTAGATCACCATGAAAACCTCCACACCATTTGGTTTACAAACTGGTACTGACAAACATGTTGGCGTTACAATATGAAGCCCTTTATTCAGTCGTTTTGTGCGTATTAGTCTGTCTTGAAATGACACTCTAATTTGAAAACAATACCACCTTAATGTTTGATATGCAACATTTCGCTTTCACTGCACATCTGAACACTTGATGAGTGATTACATAACATGGCAAAACGTGTCCAATAGGAATACATTACATGGAAAATAACATAGGAGAACTCAATGTTTCCCGTGTCCACCATTGGCGCTACTGCCTGGCACCTCTTTCCCATGGACGATAGGAGAGTACGGATGACACCTTGAGAAGTGCCTCCTGTGCAAGACGTGACAGCTGTCGTAGACGGCGCTCCAAGTAATCGCGCTCCATAAGTGTTCTATCCGGTTCAAATGGGGCGATTTGGACACGTGAACATGTACATAGGAATGCTGCCTTTACACTTGATGCATGCGGTCTAGCATGTTCGAAACATGGTTCTCAACGTGCAACTGCAGGACCTCATCACCAGAAACTTCCGCCTACATCATTTGACACCGCCAAATCTGTCGACCTCCTGTCAGCAGAAAAGCGAAAAGTTCATGCCGACGTCAGTACACAGTAACTCTTAAATAAACTCGATATTGCATCGTGGATGAACTGGCAATTGAAGGTGTTGTTGCATCAAAGCTACGTCTCTTGAAGGTCGCATAGCTCTGAGAGCAGACTCAAGATGGCGGTCAGATATCTGTCACAATCCGGGAACTGTTGCAGTTGTCGATGATGCTGTTGTCCTTGGCACTGGTTGCACTACGGGTTCTGTCGGAGCTGTACGACGCATGGCGCCTAGAGATGGTGTTCAGGGACACATTGAATGCCCTGGCCGCCCTGCTTCCGACGACGTTGTTCCGTTGTGCTTCAGTCAATCGTGGCAGCTCAGCGGATGCCTACAGACAACGTTTTAACAACCAAAATGTTCTCACTTTTATTGCCATATTCATATTGCACATGCACAACATGCATGTACATCAATTACATGTTCCAATGCCACTTTCCTGTATTGTTAAATATTTGTTAGGTATGTTTTGGTTGTTGCGATTCAAATTCCAAACAATGACATATTTAGTGTCGTTCCATATATATGATATAATATTCATGCTACACAAATCGTTTATGTGCTAACGTCTTAATTCAAAATTAACATATCGTTTTTATTAGTTTCAACAAAATCAGTACTGGTGCTATCGTGTCACTGGGTTTCTGGTTCATCGATCAATTGATTGTCTGGTTTACAGACTGACGTCGCATGGCAGGAGTACGACAATAAATACTTACTTTTTTTATGCAAATTGTATAAATGGCTGGTGCTACCGGTAGGGCAGAACATGCTTATCCTTTTCGCGAACACCTGGTCTCATCACTGATTTTCAGTTGTCCATTCGTATAATTTCCACATCTATTTTCCACAGCCCCTTGCGCCAAATTGAGTCTGCTGCGGCAGAAAATCTAGGCTAGTTATTCTCTTCTTTCGACAATTTATATTTACATATATGTAAATCAGTATCACCTGTGCGATATATATATGGGTCAACTTTCAAGGCCTAATCCCGATTTTCTTTATGGCCTGATGTGTGCCAATATTTATCAAGACCTATTGTATCTTTCAGCCCAGGATGCAAGCCTCCCACAGAGCCTGTGCCGGATTATGACTTTGATATGCCGGTGGTCGATTCAGGCAATATTCAACTTCAAGAGATACCTCCACAACGCAGGGAACATAATAGTTGAGCAGGAACACCAAGCCGGGCACGGTAGCCGAACAGGCACACAGGACGAACATAAAAGATGGAAGCCAGGAAGACACAATAGCTGAGAACGAACATCAAGAGAACACAATGGTTGAAAAGGAACAGGGAGAGGAACACCATACAGTTGAACTAATTCAGCATATTAACTTTAACTGTTTAATCCTTGCAATGTACATAATAATCATCAGTGCATAACAGGCGGAGATGTCGCAATGTAATTATTTATACCTCGTGATACAATAAACAATACTCACACTTGACAAGAAATATAGAAACACCACTCACTCCGCTGATTTATTTTACATTCTTTTACTAATTTCAATAGTTTTAAATGACTATGCTCGACTGTCATAAATATATATCCCCTAAGTTCAAAGTAAGCAAGCTGTGATAAATTTTATATTTCCATGTTTTCCCTATAAATAAATCGATCAACCTACATGTAGTCCACGATTAATAACGATTTCGATAAAACATGTGCAACGGTATTTATTTGATTTTAGACACTTAGATATACTGTTCAGAACATGAACTCTTATAATTTAGAAGTTTATGAAACATGAAGAAATTATTTCTTTTAGTAATAACTTCCTCATCTTTTTCTAACGCCATTTCATGGATCCGTTCATCGCTTAGTCAAGCCTTGAAACCGCTGAAACAATAAGGAATATTGTTATCCATAAAACGAATTAATTTAAACCTTAATATTGAAGGGAACTGTAGCCACGCATTGAGACTCATGGTAATTTCTCCATTCCATTTTTGCAAGATCATGTATATTCTATGTATATTATGATACTCTTTGTACTAGCATGTTACGTTCACAGTTCACACCTGTACTTATAATATGTATTGATTTGGAACTGATATTCATAAAGAATGTAACAGCAATCTGATACCATTAAAGCAATGACTGTGGTTGATAAGAATATGGTTATTGTTATCTCGGATGCCAATGGACTGTTTATGCAGTTTATGTACATCGCTGTTTGATAGTTAGTCATAAACACTTGTTTATGATATGGTCGTAATCGTACAAGGAACTTTGCTTTCAGCAGAGATTTCTCATTGCAGGAGTAGTGCTGTACAGCGTCAGGCAACAAAGAAACATCTGTCCTCAATGATTTTCAGTGATCCATACATACAATTCACTGCTATTTTACCATTCACACGCAACTGAATCTGTTTGGATGGATAATCGAGATTGATTATCCTCTTGCGTTGACGTTTTATATTTATGATTATGAAAATGTGCTTGCCGCATTTTTTTAGTAATTGTTTGGTGTTTATTGTCAGATATTTAGTTTATACCATACATATTTCTTTTATGATATTTGTAGGAATTCTCATGTAGATTTTCATCTTTAAAAACATATTACTTTCATGATAGTCAATAACATGCATGTATGTTTTCATAAAAACAATAAACAATAATGCTCTACGAATTTGTTATATATTTTTAAAAGCAAGCAGCTATCAATGAATATATGTAACTTTTGTAAAATAGCTCGTTCTTAAAACAAACTGCAGTAATTATCAGTAACTGAACAAGTCCTGAAGTCCAAGTGAGGTTATGGTGTTAGTTGTCCGTCGCACGTATCAACACACTGAGACACAAATGTATTACAGACATAAAACAAACAAACATATTTAATAATTAAGTAGCATATTTGTAAATATTTAATAATATTACCTAATTGGAGCATTGGTGCCTTATTCTTCGAAGTTGCTTCCCTTCGACGTGCAAAAATAGTATGATGACGTGTTTTAAGGCCATATTTACCCTGATCTTTGTTCATGGTTTGTCCGTGCTCGTGGGTTTCACCGAAGTGGTAAATGTCTGAGACCTACATCACTTGGGCTTTCCTCCCACATTAAACTGACACGCCATGATAAAACTGGAATACGGTTCAAAGCGACGTTAAACCCAACTCACTCATCCACTCCTATCTGAAACCACAAGGCCTATAAAACGGAATATACACAATTAGATATATCCTTGACTTTATCATGTGATTAATTCTTTTGTTTTAGTAATAGTTCTTCAAATGGGGGATAATGCTATATTCTCAGAAACAAACAGGCTTATATTTCAGAAGTATGTTAAACACTTAATATATTTATATTTTATGGCGTTTTTAAATGAAAGTTGAAATAGCTTACATCTGCGGCATCGTTGTTCCAGGTGTGGTGATACTTTACATACATACTTGAAGCCACAATATTGTTTTTCGACCAAACGAGACCTAAACGTTTGAGATCAGATTGTCACAAGAAACAGGCCATATCGCATATCCAATGAAATGAAAAGAATGAATAAAACATAGATCTATCTCTTCTTCCGCGTTTAATCTAGCTCAGCATTTGTGGACATCTTGGCAACAACCTATTTCTTACATTTTTTTTAATGATCGAGAAATTTGATTCCAACGGAATTCAAGACCCATACTAACGAATGTAGTCTTCCACACATGGAGGACATTGAATATATATATCTAACATTACGTCTAATAGTTGATGCGTAAGCTTAAACATACTTTATTCTCATGAAAATGATTGGGTACAAATGATCTCTTTCTGAATTATCTGTATTTGTTCAATATTATAAGTTATGTTATTCGAACGAACGTGAAGATGTCTGAGGCACCGCAATTTGTTGTCTGAGTTGCGTCCCTTGGGCACGCCAGAAACCTATGATCGTGGGTTCAAATCCCGGTTCGCACTGATTATATTTCTAGGTTTGTCAGCACCATACCCATGCTCATGGGTACCACGTGGTTCCACTCACACGTACTGTGTTTTCAGAGTTGTACAAAGAGTTTAATACTTTTATACGTTCAAATATCAAAACAATATCATTTGAACTTTTCAGGTGCTTAAGTTTTATGTTTCCATAGATGACATATTTTAGAGCGCCTGGATTTCTAATCGTCTTAGACCCTTTAACATACATTTAACAGCCCGACCTTCGAATTCCTCACTTGAACGTTATTGAAGTAAAACAAGATAACTATTAGCTTACAAGGAATAGTGTCACATGGATCGTTTCGATTTGTTTTATTATTGTCACCGTATACGATAAACACTGTGCACATTGTATCTTTCACAATATCACTTCTTTCAAATACATAAATAAAAAAATAAGGTGACACCATGCTGTTAACATTTTTGCTCCGTTAAAGATTCGTTAATTTTCTCAAAATGGTGTCACTGGTCGCACACTGTGATTGATAAGTATAATAGATTACTTACTATCTGATGCATTCAAAGACTAGATCAGCCCTTTTACATTTTAATTTGTGGAAGTCATTTACACTGTGATATGATGTGATTTTTGGGTGCCGTTTACAGTAACAACACAACCACAACCATTCTGACACAACCATTCTTTCCGAACAAAGCTATCCTTATTCTGTCGATCTGCGACTACGCCCATACGTATTTTCTATTACTCTTTTATTGTTATCATCTTAAAGGCTCCTGCTGGGCTGTCAACTCTCAGGTCCGGTTTTTTTCAAAAGAAGATCCGTGTAGCCCGCACAGCAAATGAGACGTTATGCTTCAATAAATCACGTGCACAGTATCTTCCTTCACTGGAGTATCTGACCGCATGACATCAACTTGACGTTAAGGGAACAATACCAGTAAATACCATGACGAAATATTCAAGTAGGTCACGGCAAACCGATATTCCTTTGTCCTGAATACCACGTTTAACTCAATTAATGGTCAAAAGCTCTTAGAATGATATTCCCTTGCAGACCCAAACACATGATCCAGCTTACAAAAGGATGCAACCGCGCAAACAGTGGCCCAAATATATATTAAGAAAATAGGTGTACATTGAAATCCACCTCCTTTTCCCAACCCCTTCACACCCGTTAAGACACTGACATTGGTGGCAAATACACACAGAGTTGTGCAGAATAATTACCATATCATGGGCAATAAAAGTTGTAGTTGTTTCGCTCATTCATAATATGAATATAAAATAACATAATATAAGAACCTTTCCGGACTAATTCATCAGTAGTGCGTAGCAATCTTTTATACGTTTCTAACAGTGATCGTGCGGAGGCAAGGTTTACTGAATAATGGGGTATCTAGGCATACTCTGTTGTTTGCAACCCCGAATGTTCCTCCGCAATAAACGATGTGATCTGGCACTTGGTGTTCCGATCTACAGTGTATACGGGTAGACACAAATCAAGGAATACATGTAGTCAGACACGTCATGCTATTCACATATAAGCTGGTAAGTCTTCTACATTGAGACTTATGTTAACTGGAACGTTCCTAGACCAGCAGTGTCCTTCATGATGTTCAATTTCACGGTCAAGTGTCAGTATTCATATATCTGTTTCTCACCAGTAAATGATTCATTACCGTGTATAAAGGAGGGACGTGCTAACTTGAGCTAAAATGAGATCAGGGTGTCATGAGACAGATAATAACTGTACATATTCAGCGAGTCAAGTATAATCATGTGAGTTTTCATGGCACATCTGACCGTCATCCATGCTTGTTAGAGCTTACAGTTTCCTTCATCCAAATAAGTAAGAGAAATCCTTAAATTCTATATCTTTCTTAACGATGTCCTTGCTGCTATTGGTCGAACTAACCCACACGAATAACCCGTTAACCTCCTTTTCACTCCAAACAGGATGTATTCCCCCAGGGGCCCCTGTGAACAACAGAGCATGAAATACTCCCATTTCTGAATTTGTCTCTCGTTTACCTCAGAAGTAATCCCAGTTAATAGTTATAGGTGGCCCTGAGAAATTCTCTTCTCAGATGATATTTTATAACGGGTAAGTTATTTATTATAATTGAAACCTAAACCGGGCTTAAGGAAGACCAAAGAGGGTGTGATGTCTAGCACAATACAAAGAAGGGTTGTTATAGGCGACTTCATAGGTGTCTATTGGTGTGTGAAAGACCTTAACAGGACACTCAGATTGGTTTAGCCAACGTGACGGAAAGTTGAGTCTGGCACTTACAAACTCCGTGTACTCATAACACCAGTTCAAAATCCATTTTGAAGTTCACAATAATAATCTTTTACCTTCTTCTTCTTCTTCTTGAGTTTGGTTTAACGCCGCTTTTAACAGTATTCCAGTTATATCACGGCGTGTCAGCTTAATGTACGGAGCAAAGCCCGAAGTGATGCAGGTCTCAGACGTTTACCACTTCGGTGAAACTCACGAGCACGGGTATGGTACTGACAAACCTAGAAACATACTCGGGGCGAACCGGGAATCGAACCCACAATCATAGATTTCTGGCGTGCCCAAGGGACGCAACTCTGCACAGCGAATCGCCGCGCCTTAGACGACTGGGTCACCCGTGCCCCCAATCTTTTACCACTGATTGAAATATATGCAATTAAACATACACTTCGTGAAGTTGGAAGAAAGAATATGACTGTAAACATATCTCAACATAAAGGTATAACACATCCTCGACTATCCAGGGTATATCACCAGTCGCCACCAAAGCTTCGTATCGGAAGTAACGTCACCATTTCAATCTCTCGTATCCTCAACTAAGTACAGAATTTCTCTTGCTCATGAATGGAATTTGTAGCGTCATGCAATTAGAATCTGGCTAAAGCTATCATTATAATAGGGTAAAGATATAATACATTGGATAATGTTTTGGAAATGTTCAGCGCATTACATTACAGAATGTATGAAAGTGCATTAAAACCATCGTTATTCGCTCCGTCACAATTGTATAACCTTATTCCATGTCTGTGGGCGGTTGGGTAACTTCTTGGTTAAAACATTAGTTGGTCATGCCGAAGGCCCGGGTTCGATTCCCCACATGAGAACAATGTATTCTTGTGTTACCTCCATAATAGTGCCATATACTACTACACTATACTCTACTTCATAGAGTTTTGTAAACCTATACTGATGATAGAGTCGAATTGTACGGTGCAATTTGTGTGAATGGCGGATGGAACCGGTAGGACAGGATATGCTTAACCTTGTCGCGAACACCTGATGTCATTCTGATTGTCAGTGATGCATTCACAAACATTTCAACGCTATATTGCTTTTTCAGGAGAGATTGCTTATGGTTATGGACATGTGCTATACATACCCTGTATTACGACTGGCATTACAAACTATCTGAACTACAAAGTGCTTGTATAACAAAACTATCTGTATTAATAAAACCCCTTTCCATAATCAATAGAAATCTCTGCTAAAAGCAGAGTAGATTGTGCGATTCCGACTATATCCTGGTAATCTGTTTATGAATCACTATCAAACTGTGATGACACCAGGTGGTCGTGGAAATGTGAGCGTATCCTGCCCCAACTGTCACAAAAACACTGCAAATACAAGCCATGTGTTCACCTGAAACAAAACACGGGAACATATGGTACAAGTGAAAATAGGTAATTGCATCTGACATCATT